TCCATGTGGTTTGACCTTTCCACAAATACTCATTTTGTCTCTTATATGGTCATAAAAGTAAGGACAAATAAGATAGAGACAAATTCCACAGGTCTGCTGCACAGTTGCAGCAGAGAGTCAGCTGTAACCTCGGAAATTATTTGTTGCAGGAATGAAAAAGAACTTTTGTCTATATGCCAAAATAAACAAAGGGTCTTTTCATTTACAGTAATTTATTTAAAATTTAAAGGAAATTTTGATATTAATATGTAATTTTATTATTATTATTATTATAGAAAATCGATTTTTTTAGATTGAATGAACAAAAATGATAAAAATAGTACTTTCGGGGATGAAGTAATATACTTTTATATAATATTTTCAATAAGAATTAAGATTTGATGCAACATAATTTAGAAAATTAAAATAATTAAAAATGAAATAAGCAAACATAATTAAAGAGCGTCATATAACTATCAAAATTAATTATTATATTAAAATATAATACAAATTAAAAAAAATTACAAAAATACTTTCATTACTATCTTATAATACTAATAGAAAGACATTTGTATAGAAAATTATACAAATATAAATATAATGACGCAAAATATAAATGTAACATTTAGAAGCGGACAAGGATAATATAATACTATATATCTATTTTAACACAATATAGTATAATATATATATATATATATTCTTCATCCACAAAAAATCAACTATTAATACAAAATATTATCTTTTATATTTTCGACAAAATTAATCATGCCTAACATAAAATATATCCATCCAAAATCACAAACACTCATGGAATTCCTATAATTACTCCATAATCAAAGTAATTTTAAATAATTAGGAATAGTTATGTCAGATAGAATTTAAATAAATTGTCTATGGAACATTCTAAATCCTGTCTTAAATTCATCAAAAGTATCCAACATGTCAGATCATAATCATTATTAATTTTAGGAAATAATTAAATATTGAAAAACTACCGAGAATCAAGGGAAAAAGAGCAAAATATGTCTCCTATTTCGTGGGATATGGTAACCTATTTAAATAATCCTTTCTTGTTACATTACTTATATTATTGATTCTGAATTTTTATGTAATATTTGATATAAAAATATATATATATATTTTTTATAGCTTCAAGTAAATATAGCTTCATTTTTCTATATATATAATTTTAATATTAAAATAATTATATATATATATTGCCGAAACAGTATAAAAATAAATATTATAGGTCATCTGATCAAGCACCCGTGAAATTAATTACGACTAAATTGGCAATGGTCGTTGTCGAGTGCATGGATGGATTTTGGCCGAACAATTGACAATTCAATCGATGGCAAGACTAACACAAGATAAACGTCGCTCGATGGCGATGGCTAGATAGTGTTCGGCTTGATTATATATAGGTTGTGGATAGGAATACGCTATACTTTTTATGTTATTCAAATTTATATTCATTTATTTTTTTATATGTTATAAAAATAAATATGTTATTTATGTTTTTAGTAATAAGTCATATTTATTTTTTGTATTTTTTTGTTATAAAGAATAAAAAGTAACAAAAATACGTGCTCATGTTAAAATCTGTACTAAATAATTTGAGAACAGATTTGGATGATAGTGTAGATAATAGTTATCTATCTAAAATTGGGGGGGTATTTTGGTTTGTATTTTTATTTTAAATTTTGATTTAAATAATATTAAGATATAATATTTTATGAAAGAAATACTATAAAATTTTTGAAGAAAATACATATATATATATATTAAAATACATACATAATAAACATGAACAAAAAACACCATAAATCTTGCAATATTTGTCCAATTTTCATCACTATAAGTAACATTTTATTTTATTTAATTTTGTTTTGGAGTATTCAAAGTAGTAAAAATAAAATAACCACAGTAGAAATTTCCAATGTTGGAATAAACTTATCAAAAATTCAAATATGTAAAATGATGGAATTGGTTGTTTGACACTACACATAATTAATTATTCGTCGGCAGAATAGTAATTTTTTTTTTTTTTTTTTTTTAGAAAATAAACAAATAAATAAATATTATCTAAATAAAAATAAAATGAAGATGGTAGACATGTAACATTGAAAAGGATGGGAAGTGCAGAGAGATTCCAGTTCCTCAAATCCAAAGAAAGGGAAAAAGGAAAGGGATGGGATATATGGGCCAGCCATTTTTATTATTACTATTATAAAAAAATAAAATAAAATAAAGTATAAAAATTTACAAGATGGTTAATAATATGATTTTTATTGTTATTTTTTAATTTTGGTAATATTATAAGAAGATTATTTTGTATTCATATGAATATATTATGAAGATCTGATTTGCCATTCCTCCCCACTCTTCCATGCCTCTCTATAATTATCAATCACCCATTGAATTATTTATTATTTATTTATTACACTACTATTATATTTATATATATCGATATACATATAAATTTAATTTAAATTTCATCATCCCTACTTCATCTGATTGCATCATTTCCTCAGATTTTGTCCCCAAATTTGCAGTCGTACATTCATGCATTAAACAATGTCTGAATGTACAATACTTTTAATGATGGTGATGAATCAGTCTATGTCGTGATTTCTTTTTATTTTATTTTATTATTATTATATAAAATAAAATAAAATCATTCACCAACCCAATCAAAAAATTAAAAAATAAATAAATAAAACCATACTACTACATAGAAAAATTCACTGCAGTGCAGTGCAGTACATTTTCTTGTTATTGAATGGTCAAACAAGCCTGTATAAACTGTTCCCTTGGAAGCAGTCCTGGGACCCGCAGCTCCCGGTCTCATCAAACGACGGCGATGAGAGAATCAACGGTGGGATGAGACCGGGAGCAGAAGTGCTGTCACCTTTGCAGGCATATTCCCGTGGATATGAAAGCACTCCCTTACCTACACCTTATATAGCTTTATTTTTTCTCGATCATCACACAGACAAGCACTGATATTTATTACCATACTCATGTAAGAAAATATATAATACTTACATTATATATATATATGTATGTAATTTTCTGAAAATTGAGTTTGTTTGTTATGGAGATTGGAGGAGGGAAAAAGAACAGTAGGGGTGGGGGGGGGGGGGGGGGGGGGTGGGGAATTAATTAAATAAATAAAAATAGAATAGGGTTAGAAAAGAAAGTACAGAACTGAATTGAAATTTGAATTGCAGAGTAGAGCAGAGAACAGTGACAGTGTAGTGTTATTGAAACTGTGTTTGTTGTACACACGACGAAGACGACGATGATGACGATGATGAATTGATGATGATGATGATGATGGGTCAGTGATTGAGAGTGATGTATAAACTGTTAAAAGAAAGTACCTACCTACACCTCTATGCCTATTCCTATACTTAACCCCTTGTATTAATTCTTTTTCTTTTTAACTTTTTTTACCCACATCACTTGTGCTTCTGAAAATAAATAAGTGCATTGTTGATATCAATAGTTTTATTGAATTACTTAAATTCTATTCATAGTTGAGATATTACTCTGTTGGGACTCTCGTTTGCGAATAAATTAATAATGACTACGGGTGTGTTTACTTGTGAAGTTTTGGTTTTGGGTTTTGATTTTGAATCGTAAAATTTTGAATTGAAATAGTAGCTTGATGTGATATAAATATGTGTTGATGTGATGTTTTGAATGTAAAATTAGATTTTAGTATAATAAAATAAATAAGAATTGAGTGTTTAATTTGATATTTTTGGAAAAAAATAAAAGTTATAATAATAAAATCAGACCTAAAATCTTACAAGTAAACAGACCCGTACATTTTTCTAATAGTTCGAACTTTTAAGTAAAATGGTCATTTTTGCATCCACAAGAGTTTCACATGTGAGACTTAACTTAGGGTTTTATTAATGTGCTATGAAATTCAAATTCAAGTTAAACTTGATTTGTTTGTCGTTTTATTGAGCTGTATTGGACCTATTTTGGATCGGATGTATTTTTACTATTTAAATCCCTACTCAAAATTTAAATCCCCGAACAAACACACGGAGGAGAGGGAAGATTGCAGTGTTGTTGATTATCATAATGAGGAGTTGGGTGGGAGGGAAGTACTTGGTTTGGTCAACAAAACAAAGATGATTTTTTTTTTTTTTTTTTTTAGGGTTATGGAGTGTAAATGAGGCAAGATCACGTGATGTTTTCTTGCAGAATTTCTCTAGCTAGCTAGCTAGCAATGTAGAGGTGATGTGTGGGTATAGGAGATTGATATATATATATATATATGTGCATACATGAGGTAGTGTTTTGATTAGATAATACATGCATGATGATATCACAGTGTTTACCCACCTTGAGTTTCACTTGTTTTGGCAATTATGTACAATTATTTTGCTCATTCTTCTAACCTGCCACACACTAGCAACTATACATACATATATATATGTATATGTATATATATTATTTCTTTCATTTTTTATATAAAATGATATGTGTGTGTATTTCTTGGACTGAAATGAGTGGTAATGTGCCAGAAAGTTGGGGGGAAAAGTGGGTCTTGAAGTTGGGGTAGATAAAAAGGATATGGGTCTTGAAATTAATGGAACCCCTCTCTCTCTCTCTCTCCTCTCTTTCTCTCTCTCTCTCTAGCTGTGTGTGGAATTATAAAACAGAGGCTTTTGGTCCAATCTGATCAGGACTCATAATTGAGGGGAGTATAGGGTATGTAGGATGAGAAAAGCTTAAGCATAGGGTGGTTTTGAATATGGGGTGGGGTGGGGTACCCCTGGCCTTCAAGAGGGGAAAGATTGATTAGATAAAATAAATACCAAAACTACTGTTTGGAAAACCGGACAGCCAAAAGTGTGGGCCACTTTTAAATCATTTTGGTAAAAAAAAATTAAAAAAAAACATTTAAAACATAAAATAAAATCTAACATGAATGAGTGAGAGAGTGAGAGAGTAGAGAGAGAGAGAGAGAGAGGGGATTGGTATAATATATAAAAGGGTTGTGTTATTGGTGGTGGCCTTATTATATAAAGAGAGTAAAGGGAAGTTGGGGTTTTACTTCTTTTGAGAATTGATTCGAATTCGATACACAAATTAGATTTGATTAATTTTAGTGCGAGAGAAGAGAGAGAGAGAGAGAGGAAGCCATTGTTGCTGCTCTTCAATTTCTTAGCTCCAATCTCAATCTCAATCTCAATCTCAATCTCAATCCCATCATTAGATCGGGTAGAGAAACATCCCCAAATTATATATATACATCAATGGAGGAACAGCTTAGCTCTCTGGCTGTAACTCATCTTCTTCAACACACCCTCAGAAGTCTCTGCATTCATGAAAATTCTCAGTGGGTCTATGCCGTTTTCTGGCGAATTCTCCCCAGAAACTATCCACCTCCCAAGTAATTATATATCGATATATATATAATTCCATTCCATTGATTTCAAATTAATTAATCTTATTGTTATTGTACTAGGTGGGATAGCCAAGGAGGAGTTTACGACAGGTCAAGAGGGAACAGGAGGAACTGGTAATTAATTATCGATCATATATATATCATCACCAAGCCCTAATTTTGTTTTTACTAATTATGGATTTAATTGATTGATTAGGATACTGGTTTGGGAAGATGGATTCTGCAATTTTGCAGCATCAACAAGCACAGGTGATCATCAGGTAAACCCCAGTATTAGTACTACTGAATGCCAGGCTGGATCATCTTCTTCATCCTCCATCATCTATCCTCCTCATGACTACCTTCATCATCACCATCACCAGGGCCTGCAACCTGAGCTCTTCTTCAAAATGTCCCATGAAATCTACAACTATGGCGAAGGGTAAGTAGGTGATTAATTATAATAATTTATTGATTAGATTAATTGAATCGAATTGAATTTGGAAGTGCAGTTTGATTGGAAAAGTTGCAGCAGATCATGGCCATAAATGGATCCATAAAGAACCCATTGATCAAGAAATCAACTTCTTGTCTGCATGGCACAACTCCGCTGACTCTGTCAGTTCTTATCATCGTCTTAATTAATTAATTCCTACATTTGTAGATAAATAATTATAAGTATATGATCACTATTTAATTTAATTTAATTTAATTTAATTTGTTGTTCCCAAACAGCACCCCAGGACTTGGGAAGCCCAGTTCCAGTCTGGTATCAAGGTACTGCTAATTCATTCATTTCCACACACACACACACACGTGTGTGTATGTGTGTGTATATATACAATATACATCGACTCATACATACATACATATACATACATATATATATATATATATACACTTCATTTCAGACAATTGCTTTGATTGCTGTACGAGAAGGTGTCATTCAGCTAGGAGCTATCCACAAGGTCCTCATTCTCTCTTTCACACACATTATTTATATTAGGCTAAATTATACAAAATTCACATGTTTATTGCACAAAATTGGAATTTTGAAAATTGTGTCAAAGTTTCATAGTGTGTCTAATACTCGGGCGTCCTTATTTAGCCGTGTTTAACTTGTACACGACTAAAATGCGAATAAGTTTTAGAATTTTTATTTTTAAACCCTTAAAATTATAAATATATTCGAAATTCTTATTATTTAACCTCAAGAACAACAAATATACTCCGAAATAGTTGTTTATCTCTGGTTTTAAAAATTTGTTTTTTTAATATTTTTTAAAGCTAAACATAAGATAAATTAATATATTTATAATGTTAGGAGTTTAGAAATTAGTAATATGAAATCTATTCGCAATTTGAGTAGTAAAAAACCGTTAAATAAGGACGGTCAATAGATTAGATGTAAAATTTATAAAACCAGAGGGAGTTCATGCAATTTTGTAATACTAACATGTAGATTTTTATGCAATTTAGCCTTTATTTTATATATAATAAGTAATATATACAAATATACAATCAAATGTTAGAAACCAAAATTAAAATTGAAATTGAAATTAAAAGTTGCAGGTGGTTGAGGATCTGAGCTACGTGGTGATGCTGAGGAAGAAATTCAGCTACATCGAAAGCATTCCCGGCGTGCTGCTGCCGCATCCCTCCTCCTCCTCCGCCGCCGCATACCCATCCTCGCCGTACAAATTCAACGACCCTTACGCCGCCGCACCGCCGCCGGCAGAAGCCTGGCCGCCCTACCAGAACCACAACAGCATCAACATGAACACAATCCCGACAAACGATCATCATTACAACAGCAGTTACGACCATTTTCCGACGATGAAAATAACGCCGTCGATGAGCAGCCTCGAAGCCCTCCTCTCGAAGCTCCCCTCCGTCGTCCCCGCCGGCCAGAATAATAATCCCTACTTGCAATCCGCGCCGCCGGAGGATCCAATCGGAGCCGCCGACGGGAAAATCGCCAAGGAAGAGTATCACGACGGCGATGATGACGACGACGACAATAACAGCGCCGCCGCCGGAGGAGAGAGCGGCGGCGCCGCGGCGGCGTACCGCCACCAGCAGCAGCAGCAGCATTATGGGTATCATCATGATTTGAATGTAAGTAGCAGTATGGACAATAATGGGTGTTAATTGATTGTTTGATTGTTTAATTAGTACTGTACTTACAGCTTCTTAGGTAGTCTGTGTTCGTTCGAGGAGGAAAAGATAATTGATTTGGTTTAATTTATGCATAGACAGACAGACGACATTTGATGGAGACGATGATCAATATATATATATATATATATATATAGAGTATGATATATGTGTGTGTTTGTGTATCGTTCTGATTAATTAAGGGTGTAGTGATTCTGTGGGGATTATTTAATTTATTGTATGTATTGAGCAACAAACAGATTGTTTATTTGGTGTGTGGTTATGTATATTTCAAGAGTATTTGTTCTGTGTACGTAATTTTACCGTAAGCTATACAAAATTGTGAAAATATTATATGGAATAATATTTTATGTACTTTTGCTAATTTTTATTTGTTTAATGTTTTGATTTGAATATTTTTTTTATATTTGAGATATAAAAAAATTTGTCAGTAATAAGTATAAAAAATAATACTCCTTCCCTTCAGTCCATAATGTTTGTCACTTTGTTTGAACATTGAATATTATAGAGATTTAATAAATAATTACTAAACAATAATATGACAATAGATTAAATAGTGAGAAATTAGTTATAATAAGTTAAAATAAATATATTAAAATTGTGGACAAATGAAATTATTTTTTTATAAATGAATATAAATTTAAGGTACAACAAAAAAAAAAAATCTAGCATACTTATGGTTTGGGCCTTTGGTCCGGGGGCCGGGCATGTGAGCTTCTGATATATTACAAATGGTATCAGAGCCGACTTTGATTTTGGTGACGAACGAAGTGGCCGGGTGAGTAGCTCTGCGGGGGAGAGCATGTTCATGTCATGTCAAGGAAGAACATATCTAATCGAGGCTGGACATTCCAGAGTGGAGTGCTCATTGAGAATGAGTATGCTTGACCACGCCGGTACGCCAAGGTATAGTGGATGAAGGAGTAATTTATATTGAATATTGATTTTTTTTTTTTTTTTTTGTAAAAATATTCACTCCGTCTCTTTCGTTTTATCATTTTCATCTATCTCAATTCAAAGTATTTAGAATAGTTAATCATACATTAATACTAAAATATCTTTAATTTTTACTTAAATTACAAAGCTAATATTACACATAATAACTATTTTATAAATAAAGTAAAATGATAAAAATGTTAAAACCTCTTACAAATAACCGGATAGAGTAATATGTATTATATATTGAGGATTATATCATCAAAGTTTGGTTGAGCAAACAAACATGACTACTTCATATTAATTGTACTCCCTTTGTATGTGATATCATGTCAAATTACTATAAATACTACTTCATTGTCTCAAAACAAAAAAAAAAACATTTGGGATGAACACATGAATTAAGTAATAATATTATTATATTGATATAAAGTGTAAAAATATTTTTAAAATATCAAAATGCTCATATTTTATATAATTATTGTAAAAATATGGGGATTATTTTGTAAAATAAATGGATAGTTAATGAAATTATTATTTTGGGACAGACAAAAATGATAAAATTGGAGGGATGGAGGGAGTATAATTTATGAAGAATATGATTACTAAATAATTAACAAATATATTAATAAAATTAATTATAAATTAAAATTTAGATGAATAATTAGTCTAATAAATAATTTCAAAATTATAATCATAAAATTTAAAGAATGTATTAGTAAAATTAATTATAAATTAAATTTTAGATAAAATAATTAGTCTAATAAAAATTAAAAAATTGATTAGAATGTATAATTCTTTTATTAAAAAAAAAAAAAGAAGTGATATAAATTGTAGGAGGAACAAAAAAATAATATTATATATGGAAGGAATATAGTGATTTTATAATTTTTTTTCTTTTTTTTTTTTGAATGGCTCCAACAAAAATTTAAAAATTTTGAAAATTTCTATTAATAATAAAAATTTAGTATCCAATTTAATATTTTACGAGAGAAAAAAATTGATTATATATTTTTGAAAAATTAATATTGTCCAACCTTTCAAAAGTATTGTATGAACAAAACAAACACTTTAAAAAATAATAATATTTATTAATTAGTGAAAGTGTGTAAAATAATTTTGATATTTTTGTCTTTTTTTTACTTTATGTAATTATTTTTTTATAACATGAAAACTCACGGTTGCTACTCTAAGAGTGTAATTTGGATAAATTTTTGGCCGAATGTAATAGTCTACAAATTAGATTTTAGAAGAAGTGTAATTATATATTTATAATTTGTTAAATTTAAATGTATATATAAAATAATTTGAACAAACATGATAAAGAATATAATTTATAACATAGTCATATTCAAAACATTACCGTCAACATGAAAAAAAATATGACAATGTTAAGTAAATGATTATGAACATGGATAAAAATATAATTGTGTTCAAAATATGGTAAAAAAAAAATTAATAATTTTTAGTTTGAATAAGATCAAAATTAATAATATATACAAAGAGATTTGCTTTATTATGTTATTTTAATTATATTTATTTCAACAAAATTAAATTGAAAACGATTAAAAAAAAAAAAAAAAAAAAAAAATTGCATATAAAGCATATTTAATTAAGTACAAGGAAATTTTTTATAATTACATTTGGATATGTTTAGTGAAATTATTTAAAAATATATATATTTTTTTTTTACGTGAAATATACAAATAATTATAGAGTAATATAATTGAATATGGGTATATTTAGTAAAATTATTTTTAAAAAAAAATTATGAAATATAAATAATTGTAGAATAATATAAAATAATAAATGTATTTAATATATATATTTTTTATAAATATAGTAATTGTGATTTTTTTGAAAAAAAAAAATATAAAAAAAATGAAATTATGGAACTGTTTCCGACTCTCCAAACCCTTCCGCTCTTCACTTTTTACTTCTCTGCTAAGGTTAAGTCCCCAATCAGTTCGTTTCTTTCTCTGCCATGGATTCTCGTCTTCCAATCGTCGTCCTCCCACTCGTGCTTGCCTTCATTATCGTTGTTCATCCATTACAGAAGCATGGTAAAACCGAAGAGGGGAATGAAATTACAGTTTCGAATTAATTTTTTAGCATCGGAACATGTAAATTTGTTTGCTGATTTTGCATTTACAGTAGCGTTTGGGGAGCTCATCCTCGAGGATGGCTATACAGTCAGCACAGTTGTTGTTGGTGACAAGTCAAGCTTGAAAGTCAAGCCTCACTCCATCCTCCCTCAATCTCCGCCGTCGGATCTATTTGTGCTTCTTGACTCCGTTGATAGTAGTTTCTACACTGTATCAGCTCCTGCAGCCTCCACCGGTATTTGCTTCACTAAATTAAACAATATTGCTGCGTTTGTTTAGCATAAAGGAGCTACGTCCTTAATCGGTGTATAATGGGATGAATTGGGAGAATTTCGGTGCCTATTTTCATCAGAGAATTTTTAGTAAAGTTGCCTCCATTTTGGGAGAAATTTCATGGCTGATAGACGGTTAGCATATTATTGAAATAGTTGTTATAGGTAGACATGAATATTTCAGGGAATTTGTCATAATAAATTAGAACTATGGATGTTCGAGTGAGTACCCAAATTCAGCTTGAAGATTCGTTGACCTGACACTCTTTATCTTGCTACTGTATCTTGATGAAGTGTATGCTATCTGAGACCTTTGAAAAAAATCCTTTGTTCAATCTCTCGTGTGTCTGGTTGAACTGTGAAAGACTTGATGAATGATCTTATATGGCTCTATCCCCTCTTTTAAATCATTGGTGAAGAATGCACTTGAAATCTTGACTATGGAGGAATGTTGATTATCCATGACTTAACAATTTTCCTTTTTGGGATGTAGAAATTCATATCGAGAGGCTGGCAGGGAATGGCAAGCCTGGTTATGCAGATGGAGACCTCGGTTCAGCAACATTCAACAAGCCAAAGAGTTTCGCCATTGATTTTGGTGGGAATGTGTATGTTGCCGATCAGGCTAACCATGCTATCAGAAAGATCACAAAATCAGGTAAGCGTATTACCTGACATTAATAAACAATACATTCTTTGTCTGTAATGAGCATAAGATCTTATCAGAGCCGATGAATTTCAGAACAATTATATGTGCCATTAGAAGTCTTTTCCCCTAACTTATATTGCAGATTACCTTATTTTCTTTTAATTTGTAGCTGAGTTTCGATATTACACTCTTTACACAACAACAACCACTGTTTTTCTGATAAAGAGTTCCTTTTAGTTTGTTTCTTCCTACCAAATCATTTTCAACTAAGTGAATTATTCGGTGATGACATACGGATAGGTGTGACCACAATTGCTGGAGGTTATTCCCAAAAACTTGGGAGGGAAGATGGACCTGCACAAAATGCATCATTTTCGAATGAGTTTCTGCTGTCATTCTTTCCTGAAAGGTGTGCTTTGATGATAGCTGACCATGGTAACAGATTAGTTCGTCAAATCAATTTAAAACCAGCAGATTGTACACTTCACTCCGGAGGAGGATCGGGTAACTGCTCTTACTAGTTGGAGAACTTTTCTTGAGTTACTTGTGATTATTCTTGCTATGAAACAAAAACAAAAACCTCCCTGTTTTACGTTGTGTTTTTATACGAACTATTGGTTTATGTTTTGTCGAATCAATTATTGTCGCAACTTATTCATTTTATCCTTTTGAACCAGTTCTTGGAACCAACTCTGTTTGGATCTTGGCTCTGGGAATTTCTTGCATATTCGGCGCAATCGTTGGCTTTGTGATCCGCCCATACATCATCCCATTTGTAAGTGTACCTTTTATGTAAGTTTTTCCCAACATATCGAAACACCCCATCTTTTGTCTAACAACGTTGTTTAGACAGGAAGGGACCGTGCCTCGTCATCGTCCCAGCTCGACATGGACTCATTCCCTAACGACTCTGGAGAGACAAATAACGATGTTTTGCTCCGCCATCAAAAGCGCAGCTGTTAGAACACCTGTTTATTCTCTTCTTCGTCAGGTCATTCTACTAATCTTCTCTCTTTTGTCTCTCATGTTTAGTCCTTCTAAGGTTAAGCCATCCCCGCCGTATGAAAAACCAGTATCTCTATTAGATTCGGATGCTATAATTCCTAATAGTAGCAATAGTAATGGTAACTCCATGGTCGTCTCACCCAAGATAGACTATCAATTAAAGGATCTGCTCGATTTCAACGGAGGGCAGATGATGGTACCCGTAAATTCTAACCAAGCTCTCGAGCAAGAACAGGTTAAAGAAAACAGCGAGCGTAGCAACATTGACAGCATCATATTAGCAAACCTCGTGAATTTCGACGAGCAGGCTTCTTTCAATTCCCCCGAGCCTTCGGAACATAGCTCGGGAACGGTGAAGCGGAGGTCGTCGACGACGACGATGCGCTACACGTCAGCAGCATTTTCAGGTAACTGATGCTACCTCTATTATATATATTGACTATCATTTTGATTTGGCTTAGCTTAGTACTGAAACCTGGTGCTTTCGTTATAGTATATATTTGTGTCCTTAGGACATTGCTTGGTCACGTGCGCACGTGCCCAACGTTACACTAAAGAACAAATCCAGCTACTAGAGAAATCTGCAGCAGACATTCTTGCAAAGTAGAACCTTGCAAGTTGCAAATAGCTAATAAATCAATAATGATAATAATAATAATCTCTATACTGTACCCACCCCATCTCACCCCCCCCCCCCCCCCCCCCCGCCCCCACCCAGTATTGTCTTTATTTAGATAAAATTCTTCTTTGGATCTGCAAATCTCCTCAAATCTTCACTGTTCGGACAAATGGATCTCTCCCTAACGGTTGTCCAAACATCGGAGGAGGAGTAATAATAATACCAATATGGTTTGCATAGGCATAACCATACACACGCACACTCCCAATATAGAAAGTTTTCAAATAAATTCGACCTCTATCAATGACCGTGAATGTATCCGAATCGGGGTCGAATGTTCTGATGATCGCCGCCGGGATACTTCCCGGTAATGCTGTCCGTCGTCGTCGTAGGCTTCATTACCCGCTGCTTCTCTTGCTCTTGCGGGCCTCCGAAACCCATTTCGTCGGGCCTCTCAAAGCTTCGAGCATCGGGACGGTACTGATGTGATTTCTTTGCTTGCTTCTTCTGGAACTCGACGTCTAATCCTGAGTAGAACGCCCGGCTCTGCTTCAGTTGCTGCATTTTTTCAGAATCTTTCGACATAAACGCGTAGGTTTTCTTAGGCGTCGGAGCCCTCTGCTCGATCGACGGCGGGGGCTCGTCATCATCCGGGATGACAAAGCTCTCCTGCACGGGCCACGACCCTGTCGCGTACTTGTGCTGTTGCCGGTTTATCGGTCTTGTCGGTTTTGTCTTGAACACGGGAAGCAATCCCCGCAAGATTTCTGCGGCAGATTCCCCGGTTTGTGCGACGAGTCTTCCTAACGAGCCGAGAAAACTTTCTTCTTGCTTTTCTTGCTCGTCTTCGTTCGGGATCAGCGGCGGGCGAAGAGATGACTTCAATGGCTTCTCGTACGAACTCGACGAAAAGCTATCTTTCATTACTTCTTCGTCCTGATCGAGGAAATAGGTTAAGTTACGAATCAAACTTCTTAAAGGCCTGTCGAAGGAAGGAAAACTATAAACTCACATCTTGAGGAGACATAATCGATCGAAGCCTACGTTGAAGAAGGGCAAGCATGTACCCGAAGAACCCGGCAGATAAAAGCATAGCAACTCCTGAAGAAGTACATTCGGGACAATCTTAGACAAAGACATCGAAAGTATGTAATGAAACGAAACGACTTCTTTCAAGACGTCGTTTTATCACTCACTCACCATAGGGAAACCCGCTTCCGTATTGATAAGCACAATCATCGAAATGTAGCGGTATCTCCCGAATCGCCTTGTTTCCCCGATCGATTACGAGGAGGGAACAGCTGCTTCCGAGATACACGACGTCGAAATCGTTGGAAAATTTCGCATCCTCACTCGGGCCGTCGACATGCCCACCTCCTCCCCGACCACGCTTTCCACCCGCAATCGTCGTAACTCCTACGACAAAACAAAAAATGAACCTCAAGAAAAGATTCTAACATGCTCTTGTCATTACAAAGAATCAAGATTCGGGGCGACTAGCTCACCTGTGTCGCTAATCTTGCGAATCGCCATATTATCTGTATCAGCAATGTACACATTCCCTCTATCGTCTACCGTCAGCCCTCTCGGATGGTTCATCCGCGCATCCCTCAACCTCCCGTCGACGTGCCCTGCGTACCCGTCCGCCGAGCCCATAATCAACCTCGGCCTACTGTCTGAAATTCTCAAGAATTGCTACATTCAGCATGTGTAATTTGAGCTAATTAACACTGTATCTCTATTATCATAACAGCATAATATCTAACACATCTAAATTCAGCATATCGAAAACAAAATGCTACTACTACATTAGAACCAAATCCAATCGATACCCACACCAAATTATCAAAAACTAATTTCAGTAAAATGAACCCAAAATAAATAACCACATAATGAAGGTGGGATTTAGAAATATATATATATATGTGTGTGTGTGTATCATCAGCATCAGAAGAAGAAAATGAGTCAAATTTGGATTACCAGATGTGATATGAGAGGAAATGAAGAAACAAAAAAATTCTTACAGAGAGAGAGGGAGGAGGAGATCTTGTAGACATTGCTGTTGATGGAATCGAGGATGAGGAGGTCGCCATCGGGCAGAATTTCGACAGTGTGTGGCTCAATCCCGAGCTTGCTCCCGTCGAAAACTGTTTCCACATTGTACCCTCCTTCGAACTTCATCAATGGCCGCCCACTCATGGCTGCCCAGATATGAACACGATTCATTGTCCCAAACCCAGTCAGTCTGGATCATCGACCAGAAGAAGAAGACACAATCGAACTCAATTATTTAATTAATTAATTAGTTACCAGTCTTTGTGGTGGCCTTGAGCGACATAACCCATTTCGTCAGCACAGGGAATGCGTGGTTTGAGAAAAAACCCTTCACAATTCCTGAAAAACAGAAACCGATCAGAACCCCAGGCAGGTAGGGAACATTCTAGAACCCGCCATACACAATGTGTATATATAGATATAGATATAGAGAGAGAGAGGGGATGAGAGAGAGAGAGAGTTACTTGCAGGTGAAGCGGGAGCGGAGACGGCGACAGAGCAGAGGAAACCAGAGAGGAGAAGAAGAAGGAGGAGAGGGGTTTTAGCCATTTTTTTTTTTTTTTTGGAAGAATTTCTTTAGCAGAAGCACAGCATTGCCCGAAATCAAAAACCCTAGAAGGAAGGAGGGATTAAAATTAAAAGGGGCTTTGTGGGATTGAGATTCTTGGATGAAAATCAAAAGAAAAAAAAAAGGAGAAAGAAAGGGAAAAAATGCAGAAGAAATCGACAAATGGTTGGGCCTTTTTCTTGAGAGGAGTGAATGAGTGTGGAAAATAGCTGACAGGAAAGTGATAGAAATTAAAAAAAAAAAAAGAAAAAGGAGAGAAATAGGAATAGTAGAGAGAGATAAGAGAGAGAAAAGAGGGGCCTGGGTTGTCAGGCTTCAGCCCTTTGCCATAATGGAAAAAGGGTTTGCCAATAGGAAGAAGAAGAACCAATTTATTGCCATTACTCTTACAGATAAACACTCACTGCCATTGCCATTATATTTATTGCAATTTGAGATTTAAGGTAGGTGCTAAGACTGGGTGGTAATCTATTCATTCATTCATTAAAATCTATCAGATTTGTGACCTTAATTAATCAGATTTGGGGCTTAATGTAACTAGATTGCAAGAACCAAAATTCAGTTGTCATAATCAAAACACTAGCCAGACATGGGTGCTCCCCTATGATGTTTAGGGTGTCTCTCTATTGATAGCAATAATAATTGTAATAATTTCTGGTCTAACTTTCCTCATATTTTCTATACTTTGAAATATCCATCAAATAATATACCCATAATCTCGTAATAATATATGAAAATCTGAATCAAATTTTTACATTACAAATACCACTTACACAGATGCACTTCTGCAATTTTCAATCATTTCATTAGTTTTTTATTTTAAGATTTATTTCCCAGTTGTATTTAAATGTTAAAAGAATCACATTCTGTCAGGGTTTAATTGCAAAAATTGATATAGCATCTGTGATTTGTGGTCAAAATTATTCTGACCATTTTGCCCTTCCATTCAATCATAAATACCAAGAATTTAATGCTCGTAGTCGTGGGTCTAAAAAATAAAGCAGATATTAACGCTGGAATTTTTCCTTTCTGTCATGATGATAATAATGTGGCAACCTTCACAATTATTCTGCGGCCCAAAATTAGGGCCCACTAATTTTTATACACTGAATAAGGACACCACTTTAAAAATCAATTGGGCCCATAGACTGGCCCAGTTACTTTATTCTTATTCATTTTATTTTTCTAAAAGAAAATATTATTTTTGGTTGACTGTAGATGACCTCCAAACCGGACAGTTATAATCTATTCATAATTATAAAAAGTTTTGTAGGTTTAGTCAGCCATAAACAATAATCAAATGTACATTTCGATGATGCCAAAATTAATAATAATAATAATAATAATAATAATAATAGTAGTAGGGGAACTATTAGAGTGCTAAATTGACAACATTAGAACCCGTAATATATAAAAACAACACGAAGATAATGACAGATGATGTTGTTTCATTATTATAGCGTGTTGTATAATAGTATATGTGTTGAAATTAATTAATATTTATGTTATATAAGACTATATATAACACTATATGGTATGCTGAAATCAAATATTGATTATGTTGTATAAAACTATAACACTTATTGTTAGTTCATATATTGTATTTATATTACATGAATGCAAATTGTGTGCTGCCGATAGTAACACCATGTGCTGCGATGTGTTGTTTCGTTAATTCAGCAATGTAGCCACAACCTAATAATAATAATAATAATAATGTCATTTGTGATGTGCAACGTTAACTACGTACCTAACCATGGGGCCAACTAAATTTCAATTTTATCACTTGGGACCAATAAAAGCATCAATAAGTATAAAGCAACGCCTGTGTGTATGTGTGCCTGTGTTCAAATATATATATATAAATTGTGTCCATTTTTTTAGCTTTCTGATATTTCCATGTTAGAAGAAGAAGATCAAGACACTCAAAAAGCACAACAATTTACGTACAAACCTGGCCGGAATATTCCATCAGAAGATGCCGTCGAAGGCGACCTGGAACTGGGCGCCGCAATGCGGCTTCGGGTTCGACGCGTTCGCGAGCCCTCGAAGGAGTCGCACCACATCCGCCGTGTCGTTCAGGAAGTACTTCGCCTTGCTCGGCTTCTGCCCGACCGTGCACGCGAAGATCTCGGGCACCGCAGGCCCAACAGGACTCGCCGCACATTTCAATATGCTCTCGAACATGTCCTCGTCCGATCTGTCATCGCCGACGCACAGAACGAAATCCGGCGCCTTCCCGCCATCGTCGTTGGCTAGCGAAGCGAGCACCTTCTCGACGACCAAACCTTTCGTAACTCCCTGCAGATAAAAGATTCGTTACGCAATATCGATCGAAGCGTTAGAGAAAGAGACGAAAAAGAGACGGCGAACTTGTGGTTTTGCTTCTACGATATGCTGCCCCCTCCGAACAACGGCAGGTTCGTTCGAAAGCACGTCTTCGAGATGATCCAGAAGCTCCTTCGCCTGGCAGGAGCCGAAGTCCGGGTCGGCGTCGCGGTGATGCCACACCAACGCGCTCTCTTTAACTTCCATGTTAGATCCATCCGTCGCTTCCGTGTAGAGATTCATAATCGGTTCGACAATATCTTTCCAGTCGAGGTCGGCGACCAACGGTTCCCACTCGGAGGTTTCGTGCCATCTGAAAAAACACATTTCCATGTTAAATTGCAAAACCCGACCTCTCGAAAGAAAATAAAAAAAGTTCAATACCTTAGGAAATAGCCATGTTCGGCGGCGAGTCCCAAATTTTCACAATTCGCGAGCCATTCGCTGAGCGAGGCTCTTGATCTCCCACTAACGACAAATACCGTGTTATTCGGGTCTTTACACAGAACGTTGAGCGCATTTACGACGTCCAGGCTCGGGGATTTATCCAACGATGATTGAGAAACAATGGTGCCATCGTAGTCGAGAAATACTGCCCTTCTGCTCGTCCTTTTGTAGGCCGAGACCATTCGATTGACGGATAGCTTCTTGAAACTCGGAGAAAGTGATATAACTCGGAACCCAAGCCCTAATCCGATTCCCGAACATCGCTTATTATAGTGATCCTTGCAAGCTCGCTCCAAATCCTGCATGAAGCTTCGCGACCAATAGGCGACGTCGTGGGAGCTAACGTACCGATAGTGTTTCTCATGCCTCAGCTGCTTTTCCGCATCAGGGATTGTGATCGCCATGTTCATTGCCTCGGCAACAGCGTCGATATCCCAAGGGTTTACCCGAATAGCTCCGCTTAATGACGGCGAGCAACCGACAAACTCGGACACGACGAGCATGCTTGTCCTTGGCGAGTCGTGATTTATACCCATAGCATCGTCCATGGTAGAAGAGCCCTGTCGGCAGACTATGTATTTATACGGAACCAAGTTCATACCGTCCCTCACTGCATTAACTATGCAGCATTCAGCCATCGCGTAGTAGGCAGTTTTCTCGTAACGGGGAGCGGGGCGATCGATCAAAATCACGGGTTCGTAATCCGAGCACCCATAGGCGTCGTTAATTCTTTGAGCTATCAAGTATGTTTCTCTTTTGGCTTCTTGAACATCTTTTCCAGAGCTCCGGGCAGGATTAACGATTTGAACCAACACCAGTTTTCGCTGCAAGTCGCGGTGTTGGTGCAACAGCTGTTCGAATGCTAGCAACTTTAGACTGATGCCTTTAAATATATCCATATCGTCGACTCCAAGAATCAGCTTTTTGCCCTTGAACTGTTCTTGAATCGCTTTCACTTTACTGCTCGTTGAAGGCAGATTCATCACAGATTCCAGTCTGCCCATATGAATACCTACAGGGAGAATTTTTATGTACACTGTACGACCAAAGTAATCGAGGCCAATGTGACCCCTTTTAGATTCATAGTCGAGCCCTAGCATTCTGCTGCAGCAGGATAGGAAATGGCGAGCATAATCGAACGTATGAAAACCTATTAGATCAGAATTCAACAATCCTTTCAGAATTTCATCTCTCACAGGCAATGTTCTGTATATCTCGGATGAAGGAAATGGGCTGTGTAGAAAAAACCCAAGCTTGACTTGATTGTATCGCCTCCTTAAAAATGTCGGGAGTAGCATGAGATGGTAATCATGGATCCAGATGAAATCCTCCTCGGGGTTGGCTATCTCCATGATCTTAACAGCAAAAACCTTATTTGCAGACACATACGCCTGCCAAAGCTGTCTGTCGAATCTATCTCCATGATCTGGGCACATGGGCAGCATGTAATGGAAAAGAGGCCAAAGTTGCTGCTTACAAAAACCATAATAGAACTTCTTCTGGATATCGAAAGGAAGGAAAGTGGGTACACAATTGAAGTCCTCGAGAAGCTTCTGTGCAATTTCATCCTGTTCATTGGCCTCTATTTCAACTTTGAGAGATCCCACATATATAACTTCTGTTTCGGGTGAAAATCCATCCTTCAACTGCAACAGTAGCGAATCTTTATCCAAACTGAAGCACCATTTCCCTGTTCCATTGTCTTTTTGAGCATGCAAGGGCAACATGTTTGCCACTATAATTTTCCGCTCTCGGCATGCTGGTGATGTACCATCCGACTCTGCATCACTGCTTCCATTACCATCAGATATTACTCCAGGAAGAGTCATTAACCTAGGAAGGTCTCTAGGTGTTCGAGGAACATCAAGCAATTCTCCAGCTGCCAAGTCCAGCAAATTTCCAGAAGATCTTGCTTCCATCATCATTAGGGTACTGCTCAGTAATTTATCAAGTATTGGTTTCTACGCAGCTGCAGTTACAGGGAATTAGTTAAAACAAAATATTAATAAAATTGTAAACTGAAGCATACATAATAGCAATAAATAACAATATGAAAAGGAAGTCTCTGTTACTAAACATGACAACCCAATCTAATTATGTTTACCATCATTAAGTGGTGTACTAAGGGTGTGTTTGGTTTGTGTTTCAAACACAAATCAATAGATGCATTTCCAGGAGGAAAAAAAAAAAACATCACCTCATACATTATTTTAAGTCAAAACATAAACCAAATCTTCCCAATCCAAACCCAGAAACACATGCCCCAAACTCAAACAAACCCTAAGATTTCAAATAATTAAGCAAATGCTGGATGAAGCTTCCATGCACAGTTTATCACTCCAAACAAGCAAACCAAACAGCCAATGCTTCTTCACCCACTCACTCATTCAAAACACTTATATAACACAAATTTTGTTTAGATTAATCGACTTCATTTAGCTGTGCTCATCCACAGGAACCTTGTGTGTCAATTCAAACTAGCAGTCAGATCATATTTAGTATTCCAGAGAATGTAGTCCAGCAACCAGTAACCATAGACCATTCTAGATCGATTCTCGGCAAGAGCTATAAGAGCATATTGTGGTCCTTCCTTTATATATTTAGCCAATTTCTAGAAGGTAGATAGAAACTCAACTTCATTCCCCATAGCCCTGTCCAATTCTCTGACCAAAACAATGCCCAAACATCTAGCTCAATAGCAAGTATAGGAACAAAAGTAACAAAATTTCCTCTTTAACATATTATTCATATTGCACGAACATAAGAAGCTACGTTTGTTTAACTTCTTGTTCTTGGGATGTTGTACACCCCTTCAAAACAGACACACGCCAAAGTGGAAATTATCCTGTACTTATCATTTCTCTTTTATGAATATAAATGAATACTAAAGTCCAGCCTTTGTCTATTCAAATCTAGTTAAGTTCACACACACAGATACATAGTTTGAAACATTGTATACCCTACCTGCTAATATTCACACTACAAGCCATTATATGCCACTGAAACATTCATCATGATATCGAATTCTATATGCATACACAGGTATATACAGCACAAACACAACTTATAATACATACTCCTTGGATCAATCAAAACACTCCAATATGTATATATACATATATATATATATATATCGTCATAGATTTAGGCTTAATAATAAGTCACAAAAAGCATTAATTCCATCAAATTTGCATCAAGTAAATCCGCATGCTTTAACCCAACAATAAATCATTAGGATCTACTACGAACTCTCAACTTCACACGAAGGTTAAACAGCTAAAATATTCAAGTTCCTATAAAATAAATACATATGATTTTGCTAAAAAAAAAAGTCAAACACAATTGAATCATCAAAATTCACTCCATCACATACACTCGCCAAACAATTCAAAATTTCAAATCAAAATCAACTCAACAACTCTCCAACATACTCCAACCAAGAAGCAAAGCAATTCCTTCTCACAGATTTCACCAGCACAACTAAACCAACTTTAAAAAATAAAACAATTATCACAACCGCTTCCATCACTCACCAGATATCACGAAGGCACCGTCACCTATGAAACCGCTACAAAATCGCTTCCATCAGACTTCTCCTAAACAAACCACACATAAATGCACAAACAAACGAGAGAAACAGCATAACCGAAGGGAGAAAACGAGAATGAGTTCTTTCCAAAGGCAAGTGCGCGCAGAAAGGGAAAGGAATAATTAATGCATCGGGATGGATAAAATGTACAACAGTCCAAAGCAGGCCCACAGTACAACTGTCTGAAGCGGGGATTGACTTTCCCTTAATCTGATCCCGTTCAACATACCCCGTTTGGGTTTTTTTTCCCGTTTCGATTGACCCGACAAAATTTACCCCTCTTTCGACGCATTATTACAGTTATGCCACTGCTGCAATTTCTAGCCATTTTCTGTCTAACCTTTTCATTTATTATTCTATTTATTTAACCATTTAATATATTAAAGACAAATAAAAAAATAAAAAGTTGCCCACTGAAAAATTAGGTTGCTTAATTTGATATATAACGTACCCAAATTAAAGGACACTTTTAGGTCTCCTTTTCATTATTGAGTTATTAAATTTTAAATGTTGAATATTTTTCATTGGGCATTTAGGTCAGATGTATTAATTAAGTGTATCGATGTCCCCACTGCTTCCAAATTACTAGTATTTTTATTACAATGTTGTAAAGACAAAAATACCCTTCAAAAATAGTACAATCCGTAGACTAGAGGGAAATTTTACTACTATATTTTAATTTTAATTTATAAAAAAGTTAATTTCTATAAACTTTACTAATGATCCTACGAAGTTGCGTCCGTCAAATTTTTTCGTGATTATATAAACTCAATGTCTAACTTTTCTGCAGTTTTTATTTAGCCGTATTTGACCTTGCGAATAAATTTTAAAATTTTAATTTATAAACTTTTAAAATTATATATATATAATTTTTTTATATTTAGCCTTAAAAAACAGTAAAAATAAATTATTAAAATTTGAGAAAAAATAATTATTTTTGAATATATTTATAATTTTTTTAGGTTAAATATAAGAAAAATGAATATATTTGTAATTTGAAGGGTTTAAAAATTGATGTTTTAAAATTTATTTGTGATTTGAGCTTATTTAGGTCAAATACCTTTAAATAAGGACCGCCAAGAGGTTAGACGTAAAGTTTATAAATTACGAAGGAGTTTGATGCAAGTTTTAAAAATACAAAAGATTTGGCGCAATTTCGTAAAATCACAAGTAGATTTTGCAGTTAGACTCTAAGGGTGTGTTTGTTTGAAGGATTTTTGTGAATTTCTACTATTCATACAAAATTTTTTCCCCAAAAACATCAAATCAAACACCTATTTTTTATTTTTTATATTATACTAAAAATCAATTTTACATTCAAAACATCATATCAATACATATTTATATCACATCATACAACTATTCAAATTCAAATTTTTTACTATTCAAATCCCAATCTAAAATCCAAACCCCAAACAAGCACACCCTAAAAAAAATCAAACATAACTTCATATAGTCATAAGTATGGGGGGTTTGTGGTAATTTACTTTATTAGACTGTTTGTCAAAGAGAGACAAAAGGGTAATTAAAGCGAAACCTAAGGGGCCAATTTGCAAATATATATTAGAGAGCGCCGACATGGCAAGCCATCAAACTTCTACTATTATCTTGCGCGACATCCAATCGCTCGTCGCCACGTCACTCTCGAAAGCGAGGTCCGAAGAAATAGGGCGGACCAATCCGGGTCGTGCACGTGAGAGGCACGTGGGAAGGAGTTATTGGATAGGGAAAACTTATCCACAAGGATGTAGCGTGCCGACTTCTGTTTCGTGGGCCCCACAGCCTACGTGGACCCCACTATTTATTATTTTAAATTTTTTTTTTAAATACAATTATTAAACGTGGGATTTTCCTATTGGACACATATTCTGGTAGTTGAAATCTCCATATTTATCCATACAGACTTCAACGGGCTTTGCTTAGGTTTTAATTACATCAATTTTTTTTTCATTAATTATGGCTAATCCTAACCATTATCCTTAACTTGTCTGTTCGTTTCAAATATACAACATATGTATTTTTATTTAATTTAATTATTATTTTTGTCGTTTAAAGAAAGTATTTTAAATAGTTTAATTTTAATTAATGATATAATTTAGAAATGATGGCTTGTCTTGTGTTTATTTTTTATATATATTCTTTAAAAATATTCAAAGGACAAACAAGAATTTAATCTATATTAAATTTTTAAATTTATTACTCTCTTCGTTCCATGTAATATGGGTGCATTACTGTAGACTCGAGAATTTAGGTAAAGTATAATTAGTAAGTAATAAAGAAATGTATTAATAAAAATAATTATTATTTAGTAAAAATAATTATAGATTAAGATTAAGATAAATAAATAGTTTAATTAAAATTATAAAAAATTATAAAATTTAAAATTTAAAATGCGATTAAAGTGCATAATTATATTTTCAAAAATAAAAAGGATAAGTTACGTGGGATGAACGAAAATAAAAAATAAGGACAAATTATGTGGAACAGAGGGAGTACTACTTAAAATTAAACCATTGTATAACTTTAAAACTATTTGTCATATTTAGACGCTAGAGTTTGAGGTACCGTGTAATTAGTAATAATAAAAAAGTCTATTAGTAAAAAAATTTATAATTTAATAAAAATAATTGTAAATTAAGATTAAAATGAGTAAATAGTTTAATTTAAATAAAATAAATTTTAAATTTTAAAATATAATTAAAATATATAATTATATTTTTTAAAAATAAGTAATAAATTACATGGACGAAGAGAGTATTATTTATTCATAATTAAATATAAACTTTTATAATCAAAAGTATATTGAATATTATGCTAATAATTTATAGTACTCTCTCTGTCTCACATACAATGTCCACGTTGTCGTTTATGTTTGTCCCACATTCCATGTCATTTTATTTTTTTATAAAATGATTACACACTTTAATTTTATTTTAATTTTTTTAATTAATTTTTTTAAAAAAATTAATTAAACTAATTAGTTATCTTAATCTTAATTTATAATCATTTATATTATATGATAATTATTTTCACTAATACATTCTTAATTATCTACTAGTTACACCCCTCATAAAATACCGTGTCTACATTGTAGTAGAGATGGTACGTGGGACAGATGTAGTATTGTTTAATCAACTAGTTATATAATTCAATTAAAAGTTAAGAATTCTTTATTTTTATTTTTTTTTAATGTTATATATATATTCAATAACACTATTATAATAAATAGAAATTACTATTACATTTCAAATATCAAAATTAAAATATATGTTACTAATTATTTAACATAACTACCAATATCTACTCTAGGTTAGAATTAATTGAGGATTAATATACAAAAGGCAGCCTTTCTTGACTTTGATGAAATGATAAATTGGCTGCCATTTCTCATCTGTACCACTCCTTTTTTCATCACACTCTAAAAGTGGTGGACCCTTTGCATTTTAAATTCAATTACACTACTAAATTCATACCTTTTTATTTTTTAGATTTTTAATTCTTATCTTTTTTAAGTAAAAGTCATTAAATAAATCATTTAAAATATAAAATTAACATTATATATACCATTTTAATAGATAAACCAACAACTACAACTTTGAGATATTTTACCCTCTTTCTGCTAAGCAATTTGGCGGTAATTTACCATTCCAGGATAATGATCCCTTTACTTAGACACACTATTGTTTAGTTAGGATGGGTAAATTAGTAAATTATTAATAATAAATTATAATTTTATTTTTTTTATTTTACGTGTTGATCTTTAAATATTAATTATTATATCAAAAATTAATACAAACTAAGAAAACTTTGCAAAAATATTTTTATTAATACTAATAAAATAACATTTGTATAAAAAAATTATACGAATATAATGATATTTTTTAATGTTAAGTACAAATGATGCAAAAGGTAAACACGACCCGTAGAAGCAGACGAAGAGAGTATATAATATAGATTTTATTTTGTAGATAATATAATTTTATATAATACAAATAAAAAATATATTTATTTATTTATTTATTTATAATTAACTTTAAAATTTATTTTATTAAAATATCAAAATTTTAAATATAGATAAAATATTTATTTATTTAAGAGTGATAAAAGTAAAAGAGTTTTAAGTGAATCATACAGATAGAAATTAAAATTTTAATTTAATTAATTTATAATTTTTAAATATATTTAAATTGAATAAATTTACTAAAAAAAATCATATTTTATTTTACAGACAAAAAAAGAAAAATGGGGCAGGAGAATTGTTTTATACTGAAGATATTTGTATTACGGTATTCAATTTAATTATTAATGGGCCACATTTGGCCTTTAAACACATTAACCTACCGCGGCCCAAAAGCCCAATTTTAAAATTGGGCCCAAACAACTATATTTAATTAAAAGCCCAATAACAGTGGGAAAGCCTCTTTCCATCCTAAAACCAACTTTATAAAACTAAAAAGAGACCAATCTAACTAAAGTATAGAATTAGAAACTTACCAAAAAAAGGGGTCGTAAACACATATACAAAAAAGCCTTGGGACACAACGTCGACAACCTCGGACGATCCGAAACCTCAAACATGGTACACCATGCCCACCTCCAACGTCGACGCATGCGGCGACGTCAGGGCGTATGTCGCCGCCCGGCAGTTCCGTCGCAAGAAATCGTAGCCGCAGTCGATTACGATTCGTTTCAATAGACCCGATCCTTGTTTCGATCGAACGTACGAATGTCCCATAATGTACGCGATCCCGCCCTCCCGGGCCTCCATAAGCTCCTTCAGCTCGTCGCGCGCGCCGTCTCCGATCTCGGGGCTCTCCGGGATGACGAACCGGACCCTTTTCCTCATGGGCGGCGGTGGCGGGGACACGATCTCCCGAACCCGCGACGTCCCGGGCATTTCGGGACGAGCCTCGACGACTCTCCCGTCGTTATCGTCGTTGTCCTCGTGCAGCTGTACGCCGTCCACATAAGTCGAAGGCGTCCCAACGACGACCATTTCCTCGCTTTGCTGGGTCGACCATTTGTCAATGTCATTTATCCCGCTCTTCCCCGTTCGGATATACTCGGCTATGCTGCAGACGAGGTCATTTTCGAACTGCAAGTCGTCCTTGTGCGCATCGCGGTAGCCGTACCGAACAATGCATCGGTACATACAGTATTCTCTCGGCCCGATATGGCCGACGAGAAAACGCTCCTCATGTCGAACATGCGGGATCGGGACAGACTTGACGCAGAGGAAGATGAGAACTTGGTGGAACGCGGGGAGGTTCGTTACGAAGTGCGAAAAGATAGCCGGAATTCCGGAAACGAGCTCCGTGTGGATTAACCCGATTCCGCGGACGCGCACGATTCCTAAACTCGGGCCAAGGCCGAGGAGCCAGTCGACCGAGACTTTATTCTGGACATCGAACTCGTACTTTTTCAGCATCCCGTAATGCCAAACGCACATTACGATCATGAAGATGAACGATAAGGCGATCGGAACCCATGCCCCCTCGAGGAACTTGATCAGCGACGCCGAGAAGTACAACGCTTCGATCGTCCCGAAGAACAGGACGAACGCGACTGCGAGGAGCACGCTCTGGTGCCAGCACAAGACGATCACGAGCGACATCAGGCAAGTCGTCACCAGCATTACGGTAATCACCGCTAATCCGGAAGCGTTACCCATCCGTTTTGTGTCGCGGAAACCGACCGTGACGGCCAAACACAGCAGCATCAGAGTCCAGTTGATCTCCGGGATGTAAATCTGGCCGTGGAACTTCGACGACGTGTGGACTATTTTAACCCTAGGGAAGCACCCGAGCGCCGAGCACTGCTTTATGATTGAGAACGTCCCCGTGATGATCGCCTGGCTCCCGACGACGGCTGCCATGATTGCGATCACAAGCACCGGCCACCGCAGCTTCTCTGATCACACAACACCACCAATTAATCGACAAAATTCCTACATCAACGCTACCAAATCAACACCAAGTAAAGATTTACACTTGCCCGGAACCGAAACGTAGAATCCGATCCGATAATCGTTCTGGATCGCGTGGTGCTTTGATAGATACGCAGCTTGGCCCATGTACGCGAGGATCAACGACGGATACACCATCGATGTAAAAGCAATCTGCAAGATCACACAAAGTCAAGTCGAATCAAATCCAATCCAATTCAACCCAAGCCAATCCAATCCAATCCAATCCAACCTTGATCGATAGCTGCGAGAAGTGTCCGAGATCAGCAAACATGGCCTCCGAGCCTGCGATAAAGATTCCAAAACCAAGATTAAATGCATGATACCAAACCAAATCGCAAGACGATGAGGTTGAAATTCGACTGACCGGTAATACAGAGCAGGATCCCGCCCAACGACATCCAACCGCTGCGCTGCGTTTTACGCAGGAAGCGATACATATGGTGGGGAGATAGAGCTTTGTATATGTGCGGATTCCAGTAGAAAATGTTGTAGATGCCGATGGCGCTGATGCAGAGCAGCCACGCCACGACCACCGGCGCGAACAAGAACCCGACGCGGTGCGTGCCGTAGTGCTGAAGGGCGAACAGCGCGATCAGCACGGCGCAGGCCACCGGAACCTCGACATCTACGTACGTAAACCAAGATTATTACAATAACCATTGTCTGTCCGAATGATCAAATCAATCATCAAAAAAGGGGGGGAAATCATTAAACCATACATTTGTGGTGCTCTTTCGCCATAGCAAGTTCGACACCAGACACAGCAGAGAACACTGGAAAATTCAAAAGCTGAAGTTGTTATAACAGACAGACCAAAAATTGGGAAAATAAATGTGTCGGAATCGAAGGAACCTGAAATGGCAGGAGTGAGAATCCCATCCCCGATGACCATACAAGCGCCGAGGAGAGCGAGGAGGAGTAAGAATCTCTGCAAAACCCTATATTTTTCGAGGCTGGATTTAAGGCGAGCTCCGAAGGAGGAGGAAGGGGGGCTTTTGATATCCTTCTTGTAAGAAGACAAATCCTCGTCGGCTAAGTGGAAACTCGGGAGGGGATTGACCTTGGCGTGTCTGCACAGAAGGGAATACAATGCGAATGTGCCTCCTTCGCCATTGTCGTCGGCTCTGAGGACGATGAAGACGTATTTCAAGAGAGGGACCAAAGTGAGCGTCCAGAAGACAAACGACAGAACTCCGAAAATCTCCTCGTTCGTGTCTGAATGCTGAATGTCCTCAGCGAAAGTGCTCTTGTAAACATACAATGGGGAGATGCTCAAATCGCCGTAAACTACGCCCAGGCTTTGGTACGCTAAGCTCAGAATCGTCCGCCATGATTCCTTCTGCAAATCCAATCGCCAAAGCTTTTAAAAAAAAAAAAAAAAAAAACAGAGAAGTCGGTAGCTATAAGCTTCTCACCTTATTGACAGAATTGGGGAAATCCCCAATTTCGAGATCCATAATCAAACCCTAAATTGAATTTGATTATCCTTCCAATTGAACTGAACTGAACTGAACTGAAGTTCAACCGTGACCCTTTTTCTGAAACGCCCACTCCGAGTTCAGAGAAGAACAGCTCTCGATAAAACGCATAATAATTAAATTAACTTGGGGATTAAATGCGGCCTCGGTCAGAACAGCAGGCGGAGAAGACTAGAAACTGAAATCGAAAATATATCACAAGTAGGGGATTTAATTTGTGAAGAAAGCATCAATTAGGGATAAAGGATGATGATGGTGATGATAAGTGCGTTCTCCCTCCCGACTTTTCATGGCACCTGCACTCAAAAAGAAATCATTTTTGTTGCGGAGAAAGCAGCAGTGGGGATGAATGCTGCTGTGCTGTTCTTATAATTTTATTTATTTTTAATCTTATTATTTGTATTATTTTTCTTATAATTATTTTACATATATATATTTTATTTATTTTAAATATTTATAAAATTATAAATAAAAAATAATAATATTAATAGTTAAATTTAAATATAATATCTGTTTTAAACGCCAATTATTTTTCGATAAGACTTCCTGTGGATAACTTTGTGGGTTTGGTTTGGCTTGGAGACATGAATGGGGTTAACAAATATTTATGTAAACATAATTTTGTTTTTGTTAATAAAAGTACGATGCTAGTGTAAAATGAGAATATTTATATATAAAAAAAAATAAATTAAAATAATTATTTTATAATTAAATTATTCAAAATAAAAATATTTATTATAAATAAAATTAAATAATATATTCTATTAATTCATAAAATTATAGTAAATAAACATAAAGAAGTATTCCACCTTAATTCAAAATATCTATTTGCTTTTTAACAATATATTAAAATTATAATATTTTATTAGTAAAAAAGATGTGTAATATAATATTGATGTTTCTTAGAAGTATTTTTATATGTAGATATAAATTATTTTCATTATAATAATAAAAAAATAAGATATATTTTCAGTAAGAGTAAAAGTGATACATTTAGTTCAATTAAATACAATATTTGTTATGCATAATATATAAATATATATATATTTATTTATATATTTATATATATTTATAAACAATACATTAATATTACTTTATTATATTATATTATTTTATTTTATTTGTGATTATGTGCAATTAATTTCATTTAATATTGGATTGAAATTAGAGACGTCTGCAGTACACTGAATGTGATGGTCAGACTCAAACTCGGACTTTCTTTGCCTCAAAAATGGCCTTTTTTTGACAAAAACAAATTTAATTTCGCAAAAAAGAATAGAATTTGTGCACTTAATTCACGGGGTTTGTTTGGAGGATTTTGTAAGATTTTTATTATTTATTAATTTATTTTTTAAAAAAATATCAAATCAAATATTTATATTTTATTTTTTATATTACATTAAAAAAATCAATTTTACATTCAAAATATCACGTCAATATCTATTTATATACATCATAAAATTATTCGAATTCAAAATTTCTACTATTCAAAATCTCAATTAAAAATAGAGCGAACAAACACCCAATGTTTAATGAAGAAAAGCGTTTTCTTCTAGATGCTTCTCAATAATTTCAGAAAATTAATTTAAATATTGTAAAACAACCTGTAAACATTTATAAAAGAAAATGACAAAAATTGTTTGTATTTATTGTATTTTGGATGTTTTGAATTCAAAATAAAAGCTTCATATTGTTAACAAATAGCATATAGATAAACTTGAAATATACAAATACAAACCCAAACAGGAATCGGTAACGTTTTTTTTTTTTTTTTTTATAAGTTTGGTAAAATTTTAGTTTTAGTTTATATTAAAATAATGTTTGATGGGATGTTCTGTGTGAAAAAAAAAATATATTTTTTTTGAGAAAATGCATAATCCAAATAGTAAAAGTTGAGAAATTTGGAGTAAAAAAACATAATATAAATTTACTATTCAACAAATGTATATATAAATAAATAAAACCCTAATTAAGTATATTTTTTACAAAATATTATTGTACATTTCAATTATTATCAAATTAAAACTAAAAACAATTTTTTTTTAAAAAAAAAAAACTAAATACATTCATTACCACATGATTTTATGATGCAAATATAGCATTGAATAATATAATTAAATAAATAATTAATTAGGTAGCTAACTTTTGGTTGAATCATATCATTTGCTTCATGGGTTGGGTTATTTGTCATTTAATTTAGATGTATGACCTACAAATTAGTAATTAAGTGAACCTAAAATGTCACACAATTATTGCCATATCCTCAATAATTTTAATACATGCATATATTTTCGAGTTTAATACCATCAAATTCATCTAATTTTATTATCCACATAATTTCAATATTGATTTATATTTTTTAAATTACCAATACATTTTTTATACAAAAAATTAAATTACAATTTTTGTTATGGGAATATATATATAGTTAATTAATTAATGGTGGATCTTGATCAATTACTTTTTCATATGCATAAATTGATTAAAATACAAGATCCATGTGATTAGCTTTAATTTCTTTTGTGATAGTAGTATAATACTTTTATTGAAAAAGTCTATTCATTGGATTAATTTGGTAATAAATTAACCATAATTGATTTAAATTTTTGTGGTAGGGTTCTCTAAATAATTCATTAGTATTTTCTCTTTATATATTTTGTTTTTTTTTTTAATTTAAAAACTATTATATTCTTCTAAAAAATCTAAATAGTGAATTAAAAAAAAAAAAAGAAAACCATTAAAGTTGATCTATAAGTGGACGTTGATTTTAATTTTTTTTAAAATAATATTTTGATATAGTGTTTTATAAAATAAAATATAATTTTTTTATTACAAACTGTATAATGTAAATTTTATTTCAAATCATAAACAAACAAACCCTTATACATATTTATTTTGGATTTATTAATAGGACCAAGGCAATAGTGAAGCAAATGTCCATTTCAAGAATTGATAGTTACTCAGATGTTTCTATTTATACTTATTGAATTAAATCAAAATTGCCAACTTGAATTTATTTGGAATAAACCCTTTCAAAGTTACCATAATAATTATATTCATTTTAAAATGTCGAGTGACAGTATAAAAATAAAATAAAATTATAAGAAGTAATAATGCCCTGAAAACTAGCTATATATGTGATGGCTCAAAAGTCAAAGTCCCAAAAATAAATAATTTTAATTTATAAGTGGGATTTTAATTCCACTTTGTTTTGCTTCCTCTATCCCACATAATTTGTTCCTATTTTCTATTTTCGTTCGTCCCACATAAATTGTCTTTTTTATTTTTGAAAATATAATTATGCATTTTAATCGAATTTTAAGTTTTAAATTTTATAATTTTTTTAATTTTAATTAAATTATTTACTTATTTTAATTTTAATTTATAATTATTTTTATTAATACATTTTTTAATTACTTACTAATTATATTTTACCTAAATTCCCGCGTCTACATTAATACACCCATATTTCATTCTATGGAGTGAGTATTTCATAAGTAAATAGCTTTATATGCACTCCCAATACTCAACTCTTCTCTCTACGAGATGTGACCCTGCTTTTACGTACAGTTCCTTCTGGCTACTTATCACTTTATGGAAATCGCTTTTGAAACATCGTTGGGCCTAAGCAGCATTATTTTAAGACACAAATAAATTGTGGGCCCCATCTTGCTGCCCACCAAGAAAAGTAAAAATAAAAAAGTTATTATTATTATTATTATTATTATTATTATTAAAAATTATTATTATTAGTCGATACTTGGCAATTTACAAAAATTAGAGCGTATATGATGTCAAGTTGGAATAGGTTGACCAAAGACTTTTACTAAACTTGGCATAAATTGGTAACCTACATATATTCAAAACATAAATTTTGACATTATTGCTATTAAGAGTGTTACAAAAATTGAAGTTATATATATAAACAAGTTAAATAAAATGTAGGTATTTGATAGGTATTGAGTATAATAGTTTATATATATATATATATATAATTTTAATTTAATCTTCTAATAAAAAATAATATTTAATGTAATATTAAAAAGAAATACTATTGATTAATAGTTTTAAAACTTGTATCACGGAGTGTGTTTACTTGTAAATTATAGTTTTTTTATTTTTATTTTAAATAGTAAAATTTTGAATTGAAATAGTTGATTTATGTGATATAAGTATGTATTGACACCGTAGACAAAAAATTGTGTTATTTTTAATAAATACAAAATTTGTACAAATTATATTTGATTAAATATATGCGGGTCCTATTCTCTAAATGGGTCATTTGATTCTCCTTCCGGATCGATTTATTTTCCAACTTAGTTTTCAATTGCTTCTTTGATCCGAAGAGGTTTGGTCTTCGGTTTGACTTTGCCGGCTTTTGGAGAAACTTTGGTCTCCGTGCGGGCGATTTGATCGTCGGCTTTGGATTTGATGTTTTTTTTAGACGATTCCGAAGCTTTGATATTTGATTTGGCTTTACCGCCTTTTGGAGGACTTTGGTCTCCGCATTGGCGATTTGATCATCGTCTTTGGATTTGTTGTCTTCTTTGGACGATCCGCGACTTTGATATTTGTTTTGGCTTTGCCGCTTTTTGAGGACTTTGGCTTCCGTGCGGGCGATTTGATCGTCGGCTTTGGATTAGATGTATTTTTTAGACGATCCGAGGCTTTGATCTTTGGTTTGCCTTTTCCGCCTTTTGGAGAGCTTCGGTCTCCGTGTGAGCGATTTGATCCTCAACTTTGAATTTGATGTCTTCTTTGGACGATCTTCAGCTTTGATCTTTAATTTGCCTTTTCCGCCTTTTGGAGAGCTTCGGTTTCCGTATGAGCGATTTGATCTTCAGCTTTGGATTTGATGTCTTCTTTGGACGATCCACAGCTTTGACCTTTGCTTTGGCTTTGCCGCTTTTGGAGTACTATGGTCTCCGTGTAGGCGATTTGATCATCGGCTTTGGATTTGGTGTCTTCTTGGAACGATCCGCAGCTTTGATCTTTGAAGAGGTGGATTTAGTGCTCCATAACGCTTTTGGCAGCGTATCCCTTTGACTTTTTAGATCGAAGAGGACCTAGTTGATGTTTTGTTGAAGAACGGATGAACATCTTGAAGCTTTAAGAGGAACTTTGAAGACCTTCCCTTAGCTTTGACGAATTCCTCAACGGCTTTTAGAGCTTTAATCCTTTCTCCAGCTTGGACATATGACGAAGAACGTTAACTTCATCGATTCGTCAACCAATATTGGATCATTTGTCCAAATCGGTGACTTTTCGACGAAGAACGCTTCGAAGGACACGAAGAACAATAAAGAACATGCAGAGAGTTTAGAGAGTTTAGAGAGAGTTACCCTTGCGCGAGTCTTCAAATGAACTTCGGTGTGTCAAATGAATTGGCCAAGGCTCCTATTTATAGGGGAGGGTGGCCTTGGCTTCATTTTCGGATGGTGCCACATGGATGGAAAGATTTTATAATCTTTCCTTTTCCATCGGATGTTGTTTTCCATTCTTGACGGATTTGATTGTGCACCTTCCTTTCTCGGAAAATATTAATTTATATACTTCCTTTATTGGCAAGATCTTTATATCATTGTCTTGTTTGGAACATATTAATTTATATACTTCATTTATCGACAAGATTAATTTATTTTGCTGTCAAATTTATTATGGTTCTATTTATGCACGTAATATTTGTACTATATCTTCCATTTTAAGGAGATTTTTGCATTAATGATTGATATTTATTATATAAAAAGTAACATATATGTATAATTAAATACCATATATTTATATCATTGGAATTTTATTTCTTCCAAAATATATGATATTTAATTTAGACATTTAATTTTTAATGCCTACAGATGCAATATTTTGAATGTAAAATTAATTTTTTTTAAAAAAAATTAGTAATTAGGTGTTTGATTTGATATTTTTTAAGAAAAAAAAAATTGAAATAGTAAAATATGGATAATATCGCACAAGTAAACAAAACCCAAATATTTTTTAAAAATAGTTTTACAAAAAATAAAAATAAAAATACACACACAATCAAACAAAAGCCTAAAATCTCGCAACAACGACCCAAATGAAATTATGAATTTGGAGACTAAGATGCTGGTGTTTGTTTGAGGGTTTGGATTTTGAGTTGAGATTTGAATAGTAAAAATTTTGAATTTGAATAGTTGTATGATGTAATATAAATAGCTGTTGATGTGATGCTTTGAATGTAAAATTGATTTTTAGTATAATATAAAAAATAAAAAATAGGTGTTTAATTTGATGTTTTGGGGGAAAATGGGATAAATAATGAAAATCTAATCCAATCCCCCAAACAAACACCCCCTATTGTGAATCTATATTATGGGTGTGTTTGTTTGGGGATTGGATATTAAATACATTATTCATCTTATTTTTTCCAAAAAAAAAAAACAAATCAAATACCTATTTTTCATTTTTTATATTATATTAAAAATCAATTTTACATTCAAAACATCGCATCAACACCTATTTATATCACATCATACAACTATTCAAATTTCAAATTTTTGCTATTCAAATCTCAACTCAAAATCCAAATCACTTAAATATATCTATGACTTGTTAACATGGATTTTTTTATTTTTTATTTTTTGTGCGTGTTAATATCAGTTATAATTTGTATTGTTTGGACTATTAGTATATAATGTTAGCTTATTTTGTACTCTCTCGTCCTAAGACAATAGTTTTGTTTATATTTTTGTTCGTCCTAAAATAATAGTTTTATTTTCATAAAAAATCATATCACCGTAAAACTACTCATACTCTTTCATTTTTATTATATAATTGTCACTATTTTTTATACTAATAAACTCATAAAGGCAAAAAAATCTTTTACCTGTATTTTTTACTGTTCAACCCAATTAAGACTATATTTATGAGATGGAGGGAGTGCTATTAAATATGAATGCATATTAAATACTGTTAATAATGGTTCTAATTAATGCTATATATGGTTAATTTAACTGTGTTATTTATAGATGACATGAACCATGTGGAGGCTTTAATTAATTAATTTGTCTTCATAAATTTTCGTCCTTACAATTCAGTCAATTTCATTATTAATATTTTTATTTTTATTTTATATATAAAATCGAGACAGTCTACGAGCTCATAGAATAGACGCATTGTCTAATATTAAAAAATAAAAATAAAAATTAAATAAAAAGAGGGAGGCAGTAAAACGAGTGCTATCAATTACAATATATTTATATATCATTATATTTATAAATTGTGATACAAAATTTATTTATTTAATATAATAAAAATAATAATAATATTATTACGTCTCGGAAGAATTAAATATTTTATATATTAATTATTTATTAAATTTATCAATAAAGATAAATAATAGTTTTACGTATAAATAATAATACTATAACAAAAATGATATAAACTAAGTATCTTATAAAAATATTTTATATTTTATAGTTTATAATTTTTTAATATTAATTAAATTATTTAGTTATTTTAATTTTAATTTATAATTATTTTTACTAGTATATTTTTTAATTATTTACTAATTATATTTTATCTAAATTCTTGTATCTACAATAATATGCTCATATTATATGAGGCAAAAAAAAGTAAAATATTAGTATTATAGATATGATTATATGCTAATTTGTAATTTATTAAAAAATTATTATAATTAAATTTGATTTAAAAAATTAATTAAAACTATTTCAAAATATATAATATAATGTTAATGTATATTAATATCTCTTTGATATAATTAAAAATAAAATAAATAAATATTACTCCCTCCGTCCCACATACCATGTCCACGTTGCCGTTTCCGTCCGTCTCACGTACCTTGTCATTTTTCTTTTTTGGAAAGTGATTACACATTTTATTCTCATTTTAAACTTTTAATTTTATTTTATTTTAAATTTTAATTAAATTAATTAGTTATTTTAATAGTAATTTATAATTATTTATATTATAGGATAATTATTTTCACTAATACATTTTTAATTATCTACTAATTATACCCCTCATAAAATACCGTGTTTACAGTGTAGCAGACACAGTAGGGAGTAAAATTTTGAAAGATGTTATAAAAATTCTAATAAAATATGTAAAATGGTATAATAGATAATTATACAAGTTATTATTCTTTTTATATATATATTAAAAATATAATAGTATTTATGTCCGGCTTTAAGGTCTCATTTATTATTTAAATGTTGATATTTGAATATTAATTATTATATCAAAACGTAATACAAATTAAGAAAAAATTGTAAAAATATTTTTATTAGTGTCTTGTAATACTAATTGAAAGATATTTGTAATATATATATATACAAATATAAGAATTTTTTACTATTAAATATAATAACACATAAGGTAAATGTGACTTTTAGAGACGGACGAAGAGAACATGATATATGAGAATAGATTATACATTGATGTTTATCTTCGTTCAATATATATGCTGATTTTATTTTTACTAATTGATTTTACATCTAATAATATTAATTAAACTAATTAATTATAATTGGACGGAGATAGTAGAATTCATTGATATTATTTTATTTTTTATATTGATTAAAAATATATGTATAATATATAAAGAAATTACTATTAAAAAAATAAAAATATAATTGTAATTTTTTTTCGTTGATTTCAGGGTGTGCACGGTATTCCGCTAGTAATTAATAAAAAATACTCAATTAGCCATATAATTACCAAAAAAAACACAAATTCTTAATTATCACGTAGTCTTCAAACTTCCACATTTTTCAACAAATTATTAATAATAATAAAATTGCACGTATCAATTGATATGATATTATATGATATGTATATATGTAATGGAAAAAGGTGAAGTTCGAAAGGTGGGACCAAATTTGTGAAGTTGGGGCCTAGAAAAAAAAAAATTAAAAAAAATAAATGAAAAGTGGTACTTCAATTATGCAAAATACCTAATTTTGATTTTGTTAGTTTGAAGGGGTTTATAATTATTTGTTTGTTTATTCCATGACCTAATTTTTCTTACGAGTGCAACGTGACTCACTCCTGCCCACAACCCCACAACTACTCTCCATCCAATATATTAATAAAATAATAATAATAATAATAAAATATTCATGCTGACGCAAGAAGTTGACACCACTTGTCACGGTTCTGTACACGTGGCAGTCGGTGGTCCATCTTTTGACCGCGACTTTTTCTCGTGTGTTGTGATGCACATGTATTTATTTGTTCACATTGAGATGGGCCCATAAAATGGGCCAGTCCAGGCCCAAGTTTATTACGGCCCTTTTTGGAATAACAAAATAGTGAAATATTGTCTAAATTGTACAAAATTTATGAAATTGCGCCAAATCTCATATTGAGATTTTAAAATTTATTTGCAGTTTGAGCGCATTTAGATCAAATACCGTTAAATAAAAAGCGTCGAGAGGGTTAGACGCTGAGTTTATGAAACCACGAGGGAGTTGACGCAGTTTTTGAAGTATGGAGGATTTAGCGCAATTTCGTGAAACCACGTTTAGTTTTTGTGCAATTTAGCCGAAATACTTTATTTTCTTTTGATAAGGGTGTGTTTCTTTATTATACAAATGTCTAATAAAAGTATTTTTATAATTTTTTTATATATATAATAATTAATATTCGAAATGAAAGATTTATCACTACCCATAGTAATCAGACAATTTTGCTGGAACTGGAAGTTTGGGTCAAAGAAACAGACAAATTGATTTATTATTTCCACATAGATTTATCATAATCAATTGCAAAAAAATTCTGTTTTGCTGAATTAAATTTGGGAAGACTAACACAAACATTAAATATTCCATCCCCGAATTAAATTATTTAACCCCTTTGTAGCAAACTACCATAATATTTAAAATAACCCTTACAAGTTACAATAACCAGTTAAACTTCATGTCATATTTCAAGATGAAGCAATGCAAAAAAACCAGAAAGCAAGTTTCAGACTAACCAGATGATCGACAACCCAGCCCGGCCCGAAGAGTCATACCATATAGGTCATCCCGACTTCGATTACATTCATGTGAGGTACTTTCATGGTGGCAGCACCTCCCCTGCAGTTTCTCCTCAAGAACGCATAGAAGTAATTCACCACCAGCTTCTTCAAAAACACCGATTCCTTCGTCGCCCGGACATCCCCCTGACCCAGCAGGTACGTAAATCCCGATCCCGAAGCCTCCCGCAGCGCCGACAGCTCGTACTCCAGGCTCGGATCTTCCTCGCCGGACATCGTGCTTGCCGGAAGCCCCTCAGAAAACAGCCTCCTTTCACTCTGCTGCATCAATGGCTCCTTCAGCTCCTCGATCCCACCGAATTCAGGAACGGCAAAGTCGTCCGACGATCGAACAGACACGCTGTCGAGATCCTGCTCGTCGATGCTCCTCTCCAGGGCGAGCTCCTGCGCCTCCTTCCTCAGAAACTTCTCGAGGCTCTCGACCAGGAGCATCTCGAACGCCCGGTGATCCTCTTTTCTTACATCCTTGTAACCATACCTCGCGATGCAGCGGAACATGTGGTAGTCTTTCGGGCAAACCCGCCGGAACAAGAACCGTTCTTCGTGGGGAACCACCGGGATCGGGACATACTTGATGCAGACGAACACCACCGTCGAATGGATGGCGGGAAGATTCAGAAGAAACTGTCCGAACACGGACGGGATCCCCTGAACAAGTTCGTTGTACAGCAGCCCGATCCCGGGAACTCGTACCGTCCCGAGAGTCGATCCGAGGTCGTACATGACGTCCATCGACAGCTTCCCGCGCACCTCGCTCTGGTATTTCAGCACGCTGCCGTAATTCCACGTGTACATTATGCAGAGGAAGATCGACGCGAAGGCGAGCGGGAGCCAACCGCCTTCCGTGATCTTGGACAGAACGGCGGACATGTAGATCAGCTCGATCGATCCGAAGACGAGGGGGAAGGCGAGGGCGAAGGCCAAGTTCGTCTGCCAGATGAGAAGCATGACGAGGGTCACCAAGACGGTGCTGACGAGCATGACGCCAACCTCGGCGATGCCGTACGCGTTCGCTATTTCTGTCGTGCTTCTGAAGACGGCGACAACGACGATGCACATGACCATCAGGAAGTAGTTGATTACCGGGATGTAGATTTGGCCCATGAGTTTTTTTGATGTATGGACGATCTTTAATCTCGGGAAGCACCCGAGAGCCATGGCTTGCTTGACGCAGGAAAACGACGCAGATATCATCGCCTGGCTAGCGATCACGGCAGCGAATGTGGCTATGACAAACACGGGCCAGAAAATAGGGACTGCAGCATTTATCGCAAGTATGTCAAGCCAAGTTCAAAGAAACAACGCGTAAACGACAAATATGCTCAGAAACATCACCTGGAACAGAATCGTAGAATATTCGCGGAGCTGCATTAGGGTGTTTCATGAGGAATGCAGCTTGACCCATGTAGGCTAAGAGGAGGCAGGGGAAAACCACAACAGTGAATGCAATCTGCAGCATTTGGTCGAGATTAGATTGTCAAAACGATAACGAAATAGGCGTAAGACAACAAAGTCGGGTGACAGATTAACAACCTGTATGGATGGGACTGAGAAATGCCCTAAATCTGCAAACATTGCTTCAGCACCTGCAATGTTATCCTTTTCAATTTGATTTTCAGAAGCTTAGAAAATCCGATATTTCGGAATAAAGCAATCACGACTAACCGGTGATGCATAAAACGCAACCCCCAAGTGATGACCATGCGTTCGCGCCGTTTTTCTTGAAGAAAAGATAAATATAGAAAGGGTTTACCGCCCTTAACACACTCATATCGTACTTGATCATATTGTAGAGACCGATAACCCCCAAGCTGAAGAACCATAGAGCAAGTGCAGGAGCAAATGTGAAGCCTACTTTACTTGTTCCAAACCTTTGTATGCTAAACAGACCGATAAGAATTACGATGGAAGTAATGACGAGAGCATCTGAAAACAAGAAAAGAAAAACAATTGCTTCCCCAAAAACATATTTGAACTTGATGACATGAACCAACTACTGTCTGCTAGGATCATGTATTCAGAGGCCTAATTCAATGATCGGCGAAAAACTGGATATGAAACTCTACGACAAGTTAAGGACAACTAACCTGTGCCGAATCCAGGGATCTTACCCTGCAGACCACTCACCGCAGACATTACTGCAAAACAAGAACCAGATCAAGACATACAGGCAAAAATATTTTCTGATTTAGCCATTGCAGTGATATGTCGAATACCTGAGATGGCTGGAGTCAGAATGCCATCCCCGATAATCATAGACGTTCCCATCAGAACGAGCAGCAAGAGAAGCTTCTTCAAATACGGTTTGTGCTCCAATATCTCCTTTATGCCTAAAGCCCTTTCCAGTTCTGGCGTGGGCAGCTTGAGCTTGAAACTGGATATATGTTCATCAGCAGGCTGACGGTTTGGGAGAAGATTGACATTTGCATATCTGCAGATCAACGAGTACAACGCAAACGTTCCTCCTGTTATTATAACCACCATTGTCAACCATATCCTATTCTTAGAGTTAGATCACAAAAGTTGCTAGGGTTTTGCCAAAGGTACCTTACCTTCTCCATTATCATTCGCCTTAAGCACCACGAATACATATTTCGTCAAAGGAATGAGAGCAATGGTGTAAATAACCAGCGACAACGTCCCCAGGACATCGACATCCGATGTAATGGGCACCTTGCTGAATACATCAGTGAAGACATACAGAGGACTTGTGCCCATGTCACCATATACAACACCAAGTGTTTGAAATCCTAATGCTAAAACTCCCCAGAGTGATGTGTCCTGCAAACACCATATACAGTTCTTCACATTCCACCAAATTCAATAGCTACGATGGTGAATTCAAATTTTCCCTCAGTTTTCAGGCAAACAGCAGATGACAACGAAGGAAACATTAGCCCTAAGAAACAGGATTTGAGAATTTCCCCAATTTGATTGGATTCAAAAGTTGATTAGGTTTTCTAAAAATAGCTCTCTCTAACCTAATCGAATCACCAAAGACAAATTCCATCAGTTGCAGTTAACGAAAAGTGGAAAAAGCGATCCATCGACCAATAGGTAATCACTCGAATTTCGATCAAAGGATTTTCGATCTTTAACCTTTTTGTGGTGGCTATGTGAACTGGCAATCTCCATAGCTTCGACATCCAAGGAATCGACTCTCCTCGGCTTCTTCACTAGCCTTCTGCGCACACTTCCAGTTCCGTACGATTCGCCGTCTTCCTGGCTTCCGCCAAAGTACAGAGGCGGAGGCTCCGCGTTCACTGCAGTTCCATCCACCCACCGCCACGATCCGCCGCCGCCGCCGCCGCTGGAACTGCTCCCCAACAACCTCACGCTGCTCTCTTCGATCCCGTCCTCCTCCATTTCTCGGGCTTCAACCGCCGGCAACGATCGATCCAACCTCGAAAATGAGTTGTGCTCCTATTCCGAGTACCGATTGGTGGGAAGTAAACTCACGTGCGATTCTATCCCTGCGAGACTTTGGAAAGCTGTCGGGCGAGGCGACGGCGGAACACCATTTCTACCGGCAGCTATAGAAGATCCCGGGACCTCCAAGACCAGTTGAATTATTGTTCTATGCAATTGCAACCCATATTGAACGGTGTGGATCTACCCGGCGTTCGGGTCCCGAACACATAAAATAAGTCATAGATAGCTGTCGTTTTTCCGTTTCCGCATATGTTTGTTCCAAATAATTCTCTTTCTTCCAATAATAGTCTTGTCTATCAATTAATTTTTTTAATAGAAATGTGTATTAAAAAATTTTACGAACAAACATTATATTTTTATAAATTATTTTCAAAAATTATAAAAAATTTTGTAACATTTTAAATTAAAATCAAGTGCTTGTTTTGTGTATACTGTAAAATAATTATTGGGTTCAATACTTTGTATTAAAAAATTTGTATATTTTTATTGGGAATTTGTGACTTGTTTAAATTTTTTTTTTAGAGTTTTAGAATTTTATAAATATAATAAAATAGAGTATTTAATTAATAATTAATTACAAAAATATTTTTTCCGTTATAAATACAAGAATTATATTTACTTTAGTATCGAAAATTTAAAAATATTTATTATAATGATAGTTGTGAATTTTTAAGTAAATTATTCTTTAATTTTATTTTGTAATTGAATAATATTTATGTAAATAAATATGATTGAAAAAATATTTATAATGAGTATGATATATATGGTAACTAAATAAAATGAATATAACTCTTGTAACAGTAAACTCAAAAATAGAAAATGTAGTACTATTATTTTTATTGTTGGCTAGCGGAAGTAATAAATATTTAATTTATCATATCACTTTCAACGTAATGTATACTTCTACATTAGTTTATCTTAATTAAAAAAATATCAATTTTTATTATAGTAAATGTAATTCATAATATTATTATTTTTTATTAAAAAATATTTTTAATTTAGTAATGTATTTCCTACTTAATATAATTAATATCTTTATTAATATTTTTCATTATTTTTTTATCAGGAGTATTTTTGTTTTTTTCACTATAAACTAATATAATACTAATATTTAAAAATCTACATATAAAAAGCAAATGATACTGATTTTATGGGACGAATGTAATATTTATTTATTTATTTACAAAACCAAAAATCTCACAATTATCTTATATGCATTCACTGATCAATGAAATACTAATATTTATTAAAAATTTTATAGTTGATAAATAATGTCAAACAACCTTGTAAATGATAAGCTTCAATAGATTATTACTAGTTAGATTTTAGACATTCATCTGATTATTACTAGTTAGATTTTAGATTGTTTTGAAATGAGATGAGCTTCAATAGAAGATTTGTGTATTCGCGATTTGAGCCCAAATATTATGAAGGTTTATTTGGTTGTTGATCCAGAAATTGTTTTGTGTCGCTAAAGGTGATCCCTGTGATGACGAATCTAACAAAAACAGAATTTTCCAACTGTGAAAATCTAAATTTGTTACAACAAACTCTATAGTGAGAGTGAATGGTTGTGGTGTGTGTTTTGGGTCTAGGGAACAATAAAAAAAAATAAATGTATTGATTTCATGAGCTACGTAATTCGATTGTATCCATGTATTTTTATATTTCGATAATGATTCTCCCAAAAACCCCTCATATGTAAGTTAGTCGCAGCTGATATTAAAATATTTAATAGTAGATATTCATGTATACTTATAGATATTTAATAGTAGATTAAATATAATATATGGGTAAGAGCAATAATACTCTTTCCATTATATAAGTATGGGTGAGTAAATAATTGTATCCTAAAATATTAATAGTATTTTTTATGTGTAAATTAATGATATTATTGTAATAATATATAAAATATATATTTTTATTATTTATTTATTTATGTGAGAACCCCACTACTCAGTGACTAACAAAATAAATGAATAGATTGATTTTGGGACCGATGAAAATATATTTAGATGAGAATCAATTGGTTATTAAAAAATAAATAAATAAATTTCAAAGGAATAATTGTATTTTATATTTTAATGTGAACTAGTTATTAAAATTGATGTTTTTTTTTTTTAATAAAAATGAGATATTGCATGGCTAAATATGGGAGGGGGTTCAACCCCCTCCCCGCCCAGCTCCCCTGCCTCATTTCACATACAGTGTATGCATAAAATATATGTACGTATATATATAACTAAACCAGTCCACAATTGGGCTGTTGGGTTTGAAAATTATAAATATAAGAAAAATTATAATAATTACAATTTAATAAAATACATACAATATATATTATTTTATAAAGAATAAAATATTTTATAATATAAATAAATAAAATTTAGAAATATATATGTAAATATAATATAAATTTATAATCAAATTATACAAATTAATACGGATTTATATTATTATATTGATCAAATCAATACACTATATATATAAGAGAATAAATTCTGCATTATAACAACTATTTTTAATTTTAAAATATAAATATTTATGCACGCCAAATACTCCTTTTAATGACAATAAAAGTTCACTAAATAATGATACAGTACCTAATTATCTGTATAGTAAGCGAACCATGTGTGTAGATGACCTAGAGGACATTAGAAACTTGAACCCATGACCTCTCGGCCAGAAATCCACCACTAGGTCATCTCTTACAAGACCCCAAATAAAATAGTAGTTGCAGACTCACAAACAGAAGTAATAATAATAATAATAATAATAAGCTTAAAATTTACATGGTAAAAATCAATCACAACAAAAATATGTGTCGAAATCCCATACAAAGAATGCCTTTTACTTAAAAACCAAGAATGAAAACATCGGTTTTGAACATATCTTTAAACACTTATTCTGTTTGGTTCAAATTCAATAAAAATAAACAATGCAACTTCCATCTACTTAATCTCACCTAAACCATTGCAGATCATAAACACTTAAAAAAATTCACAACACACAGAGCCACTTAACTAAGATGGATAATATACAAACAACACTAGATAATGAGCAAGAACAAGAACAAGAACACACCTGTCTGCATATCAGGGTAAATCCAATCTTCACAAGATCCATAACCATGAGACACCGGATCCAATCGCCAGGCCAATGACCAGGTACAGCACAAGAACAGTCCCTGCAATTTCCGCATATTGTATCTGCACAGTTTTGGGAGCCAAGATCATCAGCACACTGGTTAAGTACCCGTTGGTAAGACCCAAAAGGCACGTCAAGATGGTGACAGGAATCTCGGTTCGGATGAGCTCAGGACCGTGCAAGCAACCATAGTAAAGAGGGAGAAACAGTAGCCTTACAAACGAGGCGATGATTGCAATTCGAGCACTCTTCATTAGATAAAGGGAAGTTAGAGACTTCCCAAGAAGATCGAAGATGTTAAATCCCATTATTAGGATGACAGGGTACCAATCCTTTAAAGTCCCCGAATGCACATCTTCTGTTAGAGGTCCCGGAAATATACTCAATGTTGTGAGGTAAATCATCACCATGCCCGATCCATACCATTTCATGGCCCCAACAATATCCCACAATGTTGATCTCCAAAGCTTTCCGGTAAGATCACCTTTATGTTCTTTCTCCTCATTTTTAGCCGATTTTTTCAGATTGTAGTAGTATTTGATCACAGGAAGCCTATGTACCACATTGTAGAAGATGATGTTCAATAGCATCACTGTTATGGTGACAATGAAATACAGATTTGCACCTTGTCGAAGCCCATTGGCATCTTGAGCATACAGAGCCTTGGTTAAGATCCTTAAAGTAGAAACAAGAACACCTGCAATTCAGAATCAATTGTTCTGTGTTCATATGCAAGGGATAGCTCTATACGAATTCAAACCACCATCAACAAGAGATGAAAAAGAACATCAAAAACAAATGGATCCAAACAAAATGGCTAGCCTGTTGTTATTGCAAACTAATTCACTGGCAATTGAAAATAGGCAAACTTCCAATACTCCATAGCTCAATGAATAGATCAAGCATTCACAATAGACCAATAATTCAAAGCTACAATATCAAGTGCACCAATTGTTGAAGAAGTAAACTAATCTGGCCAATGAAGCATAAATTAGGGCTGAAAGGAAGAAGAAGAGTAGCAATAGGTTTACCTGAGGCAGCAGTTCCAACATACACAGCCTGAGTATACCTCCCCGGCAACTCTCCGGCATTCCCTACAACGCCGCCCTGCACCAATCCATTAGCTAATCCAGTCAATCCGACCAGTCCTACCGTCGCGTAATACCCGCCGTAAACACCAACTCTCCCCTTCACATAACAAACATCTATAAACGGCATCGCCACAAGCGCCACCAGGAACAAGGCGTACCCTACGTTGATCCTCACAAATGCATCGGACTTGTGAGCGAATGCAACAATCGACGGCAACGACACGAGCTCCAATAGAATTTCAGCGACCGTGAACACGCGATTGATGGGTACGCCAGGGTAGAGATGCGTGAAGTAATCGACAGCTAAGATGAAAGCATTCCATGGGAGGAGGTATCCTGCGCCTAATGTCAAGTAGATTATATAGGCAAGGTGGAATGAGTCTTTCGGAATGTCATCAGCTTCGGCGATCAAAAGAGCTTCCGATTCCGAGTCGCCGTCAGCTGCGGCGGCGGCGGCGCTGATCGTTACGGCCATCGGAGAATTTAACCGGGAAATAACTTAGAGTGTGTTTCTCGTTTGGCCAAACTACTGTGAAGTTACCTGGCACAGTAAAAGTAGTTTCAGCGACAACCCTCTCCTCTCCGAGCCGACATGCTTCCAGCACAGACAAGTTCTGCCTTTTGGTAGATTTTACTTGTTTTAAAAGGTAGAAGAATAGCGGCAGTGCAAAAATACAATAAATCAATTGTTTTGATTATTTTAATAATTATAGGGCGTCTTTGGTTGACTTTAGAAAAAATTGGTTTGGTATTAAAATAATATTTGATTAGATTTTTTTGGTGAGATGAAAAAATTATATTTTCTCCCTCCATGAGAGTAAAAAGTATTTATTATTATTATTATTATTTTTTTGTTGTTGTGAGTGTAGTTATAATAATGAAAAAATAAGGTACTTATACAGTTATATGATTATTTATAAAAATGAAACTATTGTTTTGTAACGGACAAAAATAATAAATACGACTATTATATTAGGACGAAATGAGTATTTTTTTTAAGAAACACATAGTAGTAAAATTTTGAAAATTTAATTTTAAAAAAACCCATAATCTAATAAAATATACTCACTCCCTTTTAAAACTATACTTTTAGCTACGCATAAAAAAAAAAATAATAATAAATAAAAATTCAAATTTATTTTAAAATTCAATCAAATTCAAATCCAAAGTCAATTTTCTCAAACTACCTCAAAATAAACACACTATTATTATATACTCTTTCCATTTTACATAGTTTATTTACTATTTTTATTTCAATAATTTATCATTTTATTTTTTAAAAATATAATTATATATTTTAATTATATTTAAAAATATTTAATTTATAAATCTTTTTAATTAAATTATTTAATTATATTAATTTTAATATTTTTTAATTACTTACTAATTACGCAATTAAAATTTTATACCAATTAAAGTAGACAAATGAGTCGATTCTCTGCAGAAACCGACAGAACTAAAAGTTTATATATTAGAGCGCTTTTGCCTCTAATTGGAGGATACTGTACTGCGCTTAACCGGAGGGAAGTGGGAACTACTCTTAATTTTTTCTGCAAATTGTATAATCTTTAGGGGGTAAACAAAAATATTCCCTAATAATGATTGCGATATAATTATTATATGGCATCCGCTACGATAGTGAAGTAAAAGATCTTCCCCCATAAATATTTAAATGTTAGTATGACGTGGGTTCATAAAAAATGGTTTAAATTTTCAAATGGTAATATTGCTAACTAATTAACATAAATGATTATATTAATCATTAATTTATTGTTAGTATGATTATTAATCATTTAACACTTTCAAGCGCGAATCACGTGTATATATATAATTTTTTTTGTTTGAAATATTTGCTTTATGAGAAATATATCTATAATACTCCTTCATTTTCAAAAGAGTTGTTTTATTTTTTCATTTTCGTTTGTCCCAAAACAATTGTCTTGTTTCCTTATTTAGTAATCGTGGTTCTCACTTTATAAAAAAAAATTATTCATACTTTTCCAAACTACCCCTAATTATTACTCTAATTTACTTTTTAAAATCCTTTAAAACCGTAAGGACATTTTCATACTTTACCAAACTACCCCTAATTATTACTATAATTTACTTTTTAAAATCCTTTAAAACGTAAGGACATTTTAATCTTTTACATTCTATTTTATACTCACTTTCAATTAAATACTATTATTCATTAATTTCGGTGCCAACTCCCAACAAAACGCTTCTTCGGAGGAAGTATAAAAAATATTAGTTTGGTTGTTTTTGTAAAAAAATATTTTTTTTAAAAAAATTAATGTACCACATATTTAGGCAGTTTAGATCATCTTAAAAAATAAGCAGCAACCCAAAGTAGAAGGAGACGACAAAGCAAAAAACAGTTAAACTATTATTTAAAGATTTTAAATTAAAGCATAAAAAATAATTTTTAAAATTTTTTTTATTTATATTTTAAAAATTAAAATTATTCAAAAGATATACCATTCGTTTTTTTATATTTTAAAAATATATTATAGTATAAATTATAATATATCAATTTGGTGTCTCAATTTTAAATTTTAATCCAAGTATAATATATAATTTTTTTAAAAAAAATTAATTCATTTTTTTTTATAGTTTTATTAAAATATAATATATAAATTAATTATTTTTATATTATATTATAGTATTGTATTATTTATTTATTATTATTATTATTATAGATAAAATAGTAATTTGGATTGAAAAGTGCCCAATATGCTTCTGAAAAATACTTTTCAACTTAAAAATTGCTTCTGCTTTTTAGCAGAAGCCAATGTAAATAGGTGCAAACTGTTTTGTTTAGAAGTATAAGCCAAAAGCTTTTGGCAGAAGCAGCCAAACGGAGCCTTGTTCTTTTATATTGACATATATAGTTTTTTATACTTCACTTGTAAAATATCTTTTCAAAAAATTTTACAAAACAAATTAATATTTTTTGCTGAATTTTGTGAAAGTATAAATATTATATATATTAAAAATAGAGCTATTATTAAAATTATTTGTGCATGCACACTCAGATGCACACTCAATATATCAATTTATTAATTTAGTAATTTAGTAATTGTGATATGTGCTTAATAATAAACTATTTTTATATTTCACATACAATTATTTACATCTGCTAATTTTTATTTTTTTTTATGATTTATATATAATACACTCTTCCTCCTATAAAAGTAGCATTTTTTGATCCCGTACATATGTTTAGGAAAAAAATTTTTTTGAAAAAATAATAAAAGTAAAATGAGTGTAAATATTTTTAAGTCTGCATATCGATTTGGTTTATAAATAAACAAAATTTTTCGTAATGGGCCGATCCAGATTTCGGCCCATTAAACTTTTGCATATGCGCCAGCGCGATTATCCGCAAGTCTATTTTGAAAGATACTACTGTTCTTGAGTGCTCTCTGTGTTCAACGAAATGCGTGCAGATCTTCTGTGAAGATTTGTTTTCCAAATTAGTGTACGTGCTACATTTAATTCTACCTCAAGTTAGTTCCAGGTGTTTCTGGACTCTAGAATCCTTGCGGGTGAGGAAGGGGATTTTTCTAGAGCGGGAAATGAATTCGAGCTCCATGCTTATTGCTTCCACCGCCGCGGTTAGCATCAATCATCTGGTATGAGTTTTTGAACGTGATTCTATTCGATGTATCATCAGTTTTGATGTGGTGACTGTTTGGTTTGGGGAAGCAGGCGATTTTACTTATTTATTTTTGTTATGAGTTGTTAGTCTGTGGAGTGAATTTATTTGTTGATGCAGGGGTTGGGACTGAGAAGAAACAATTTGCATAGTTGCAGTAGAGGATCAAAAACAGTTGCTTACTATGGCCTCAGAAACCCTCCTTACAAACTTGTGAGGATTGTGACTATATTTAGTTGAATACAACAATGAGATAAAATGCTTCTGTATACAAGATAAGTTTTTCTGTAACTAGTGTAGCATTTTCTCATGAAAATTTTGCTGTTTGAGAATATAGATTGTCCCCTCCATAGAGGAACTTCTGTGCCATGTGTTTTTTGGGATTTTCGGTGGACAAGAAAATGGTAGGAGAGATTAAAAAAAAAAGAATCAAGTTCAAAAGATTATAGTGAAAAGAGATCATGAAAAATTAGGAGTTATAATCAACAATCAGTCATAGCTTTTCTGTTTTCTTTTTCCTTCATGAAATCCTTAAAACCAAATGTAGAGTTAGGATTGTCAAGTTAGTGATTCTCAGAATCTACAATGCCTTGATGATAGCTTATCATGTTTTGACTTTTGAGTTGGTGCTGTATGACCCCAGGCCAGAAAAAAAGGGAGTTGTTTATTAACACCTTTCCTGTTGAGTTATTGTGAGGTTTTGAAATTTTAATTGTTTATTCATGATTTTATGATATTAACAGCTTATTGTGTATTGCAATTCATTAACAGTTACTTATGCTTAAGAAGGGTATAGACAGGCAAAGTTGGTCTTTGTAATGCGTTTTAACTATTGATCCCGGTGTGCTCCTCAACATCACTCATTTTATATTATCCTTTATTCGTTTTAGGATGCACTAGAACCATACATGAGTCAAAAAACACTTGAAGTCCATTGGGGCAAGCATCATCGGGCTTATTTAGAATCACTTAACAAGCAGCTTGAGAAGAATGACATACTCTATGGGTGTACCATGGATGAGCTAATCCGGGTGACATATAACAACGGCAATCCTTTACCTGAATTCAATAATGCGGCACAGGTGATTCTTTGCTGATTTCTCTGTTTTTCCTTATCTTTGAATCACATTAGAAATAAGTGATTAGTTTGTCAATTGTTGTTGATATAATTGACATGCAATCCTATCAATTGCTTTATGCCTTCAGTTCAGAATTCATCAAATTTGCATTTTAGTTAACTTCCCGTGAACTATTATTCTTGGATACAAAATATACATACTGATAATCCAGTCTCTCCTGCTTCTTGCTTGTGCCTTGTTCTTTATCTGCATAGCCCCTCTTGATTCTTTGAGGTTTCAATTTCCATAATCAGCACAGCACTTCACACCTGACTGAGTTGGATGTGCAAGTTCATGGCCTATGTATTTTTCAAGCATATTTCACACTGTAGCTTCTCGTAAACAAATCTCTAATGTCTATTAGCTGGAATTTATTCAAGAATTCTGTGCTAATGTAAAACATGAACGCATGTGAATGAAACCCGAGTTTTTTTTTTGTTTTCCTCTCAACAGAAGAATGTGATATTTCTTGTTTATCTTCAAGGATTCAAACATAAAATTAATGGGAGCTTATTTAGTTGTATATACTCACTCATTTAGGTATGGAATCATGACTTCTTCTGGGACTCTATGCAACCTGGTGGGGGTGAGCCACCCACTCTGGGTCTGCTCCAACAGATAGAAAAGGATTTCGAGTCATTCGCCAATTTTAAAGAGAAATTCATCGAAGCAGCCCTGACTTCATTTGGATCTGGATGGGTGTGGTTAGTTTGTAAGTTATCTATAGCTTATCTACTAATTTGGTGCTGAATTGTTGCTTTGATATAAAATGTACTAAGTTGAACTAAACTATGCACTAGTTTTCGCCATTAAATATACTCCCATCGACATAAATGCACCTTCTTTACTAAGCTTAATTTCTTGGTCTTCACTATGATACATTCACTAGTTTCCTTATTTTATTGTTGCAGTGAAGCGAGAGAAAAAATGCCTCGAGATCGTTAAAACATCAAATGCAGTCAATCCTCTCGTGTGGAACGACATTGTAAGAATCTTATATATATATATATCTATATATTTCCATCTTTAACTTCTTTTTCCAGAGTTTTTGCTGCTTATTGGTAATATTTTCGAGTATGTCTTAATTGTTGCTTAATTGTTGCAGCCAATTATCTGTCTGGATATGTGGGAGGTATACTCTCCTCTCTCTCTCTCTCTCTCTCTCTCTCTCTCTCACACACACACACACACACATGTGCAGGTGTGCTTGCACAATATATCTTCCTACCCTCCCTCTAATCGAATTCTGCCTTGTTTCTGCAGCATGCTTATTATTTGGATTATCAGGTAATCTGAAATCTACATTTCCAAACTTTCAACAATTATTTTGTCAGTGAACTCAATTTGTTGAGTTCATTTGAAACAGAATGATAAAGCCAAGTATGTCGACGCATTCATGAACCACCTCGTCTCATGGAATGCTGCAGCTGCACGAATGGCGCGCGCCCAGGCTTTTGTGAATTTAGGCGAGCCCAAAATTCCTGTGGCATGAACCAAATGCACCCACCCCCTCCTCCCCATCTTCTCCATGAGGATATTTATTATTGAGAGAAAAAGGAAAAACTAGTAAGATGCTGAAAACTCTCTCATTTCTTTAGAAATGATCTACCTGGTAATGCCTTTGCCTCAACTTGGTAATTTTATTATCACAGCTTTTTATGCCAATAGTTATTTAATTTAATATTTGTAGGAGAAACTTGTTCATTTTTATTGTAACAGTAGAAAAGGAAATTACATAGATCTGTAATGTGTTTAGTTTGCTATAAGAAATACTAGTAATAATCTATGCTGAAGGGTTTGTTTGGTTGCGGTAAATAAGTTCTGGATTTTAATTTTTGTTTAAATAGTAGTACTTTTTTGTAACATGAGAATTCGCAGCTGCTACTCTTCTTCCAGTGTTCGTTCGAACGTAATAATATGCAAACTAGGCTCGACAAGGCAGATCATATTAGGCGGACAAGATCTAGAGACATTGGTTTGAACTTGTTTAAATAGTATTTTGATTCTTTGTTTGTTTCAAATAATAATAAAGATACCTATATATATATATATATATGGTGTGTTTGTTTGTGAGTTTTAGTTTTTAGATTTGAATTTTTAAATAGTAAAAATTTGAATTTGAATAATTGTTTGATGTGATATAAATAGAGATTGATGTGATGTTTTGAATGTAAAATAATTTTGTAATATAATATAAAAAAAAAAAAGTTATTGATGTGATATTTTTTTAAAAAAAAACAATCCTAATAGTAAAGTTCGTAAATAAAATTCTGTCGGTAAAACCCATAGAAGAACACAACCATAATATTTTTATAATGATAATATAGTAAAAATTTATTATATTATTATAAAATACTAATTGAGAGTTGACGTTAGAAACAATTGAGCACCATCAGTTCACGGTTCAGTGAATAATGGAATCGAAACCGGCAAACTAGCGGTTCAAACCGCCGGTTCGTATCGGTTGGGGTTGGGAATGTCTGGCCTCGCTATGCATTATTTTATTTGTATCAGCTCATTTGCTTTGTGTTTCTTTGTCAATTTTTCGAGTCTGTTCTTTTTGTTTTTCAAGCCAATACATTTCTTCAAAATATTATACAATTACTTATATTTTATATATATATATATAAATTATTTTCTAAATTATTTCACAAAATCAATACACCTTTCATCTCATGGACTTTCCTCTTCAGTAAAATATATATATATCAAATATTATTTAAATATAAGATTTAAATTAAATTTTTATTTAAATAATTTAATAATCTCAACGTCCCTGCCTCCCAATTCAAAATTCTTATTTACCATTTTTTGTTACTCAATACCCTTAACTTTGATATTATATTTATTGAATAGGGTCAAATTGCCTATACAAAGCCCAAGTTTGTATTGTTTTTTTTTTGTGGGTTTCTACTGTAATTTTAGTGTTCATCAAATTTTTTGTTCATAAAAAATATTAAATTAAATATTTATTTTTTATATTATAATATTAAAAAATAATTTATATTTAAATATTAGAACAAACACGTTTTTATATCATATCAAATAATTATTTTAATTCAAAAAATTTACTATTTAAATTCTTAAAAAAAAATTGAACCTTCAATTAACTTTAAAATATACTTGTGTTATTATTATTACTATTTTTAAAAAATAAAGAATATGTAAAAGGAAAAGTAAAAAAGCCTAAAAGAAACGCAGCACAAACCAAAAGCAAGGGAAAAGAAAATTCTCGAAAATCGTCGGGATGAATTCGACAAATCAATGTTAACAAACGATACATTCGCATCAAAGTTTTAAGTGCGAAAGGTGAGGCATCGGCGTGTGGATTGGTGGTTGCCGCTGGTCAAGCATCTCCAGTCCGTCAGGTATTTTCAGTAGCTAAGTAAATTCGTGCTATTGTTGTTTTTGAAATATTAGGGTTTGAGTTTGAATCTGCGTCACTGTTTTCGTAGCGGAGAACGCTCGCAGGATTTGATCTGTTGAGTTCACGGTGGCGTAGTTTTGAAGGATTCTCATCACTGGACGTCGATTTCCAGGTAAGTATCTATGGCTACAGCTTCCACAATCTCTGCAATCCGCGGTACAGCGTATTTTTTAGCAATGTGGAGTTTAGAGCTGAGCAATTCTATAATTTCTAGCATGTTTCGTGCCATTTCTAACTTCTAAAACTAGCCACTCTTTCAAAGGTAATGGAATAGAATAATTTTTAATTGATAATCTTCCAAACAAGAATGGAAACATGTTTGTCATGCAAGAAATCCTTTCATACCACTAACCTGACAACGCTACCTTCATCAAGGCAAACAAGGATCATTAGTCCACCCAGTTTTATGAAAGTTCCAAAATCCAGGGAAGATTTGTTCTTTAACCTTGATGAAATTAAGAATTAGTATAAAAGGGTTAATGCCCTGTATGTATAGTAAGAAAGTATGCATTAGCATATACAATGTAGTTTTCTAGTTTTTTATCCATCCGGTAAATTGCTATTGCACAACTAATTAGATCAAGTCGAATTCTGAGACCCCAACAATCAGCTTCTTTTTAACACAGAAATTTCTTGTATCTCAAGATCATTAGATAAACTACGTTGATTTAGATATGCTTTTACCATTTGCTATCTTCATGAATTTCTATATTGCTACTGGACATCAACTGGTACTAATTAAGTTGAATTCTAATACCCTATCAAGCAGCATTTAACATAAATGTCATGCATCTCAAGCTTCTGACACGTTGAAAAATGCATTAGATCTAAGTTGTGTTGATGTAGATCTGTTTGTAACTTTTGCTATTTTCAGAAATCCCAATATTGCTACTGTCTATCTATACATTAAGTCGAATTCTAAAACCCCATTGGCAACGTGTTGAAAAATGTGTTAGATCTAAGTTATGCTGTTGTATATCCCTTTTTAACCTTTGCTATCTTCAGGAATGTCATTTCTGATGCGTTTATATGGTCAAGCAAAGCCCAAGAATTTTTTGCTCGTATCTTGCTACTCTACGCTTACTTCAGGTCTAAAGCAACTTCCAATATAATTCAGAATAGCTTCTTCCTTAACAAACCTCACTAGCCGAGACAAACACACACACATACCTATACATATATATATATATATGCTCTCAGGAAAGATCTGGTTTGGTATACTTTCAGAAAACCATGTCTGAGCTGTTCTTCAGCTTAACGGCGCAAAGGCAGCTACTGCAGTTTTTGTTCAGCATAATCTTCTTCCACTGCTCTGAATATTTCCTCGCACTCGCCTTCCATGGCCGAGACAGCGTAAACTTCAACTCTCTTCTAATCAGCAAAAGCTACGCAGTAGCCATGCTCTGTGCTCTGCTAGAATACTCTCTCGAAGCTCATTTCTTCCCGGGAATGAAACAACACTGGCTGATAAGCAACGCCGGATTGGCCATGGTGGTTCTTGGCGAACTCATAAGAAAGGCGGCTATAATAACTGCCGGCAGATCTTTCACACATCTGATCAGACGGAACCATGAGGAGCATCACAAGCTGGTTACCCACGGGATTTACGCCTTTGTTCGGCATCCCAGCTACTGCGGCTTTCTCATCTGGGCTGTCGGCACGCAGGTAATGCTCTGCAACCCGCTGTCGACTGTTGCGTTTGCTATTGTTGTTTGGCAATTCTTTCGGGATAGGATACCCTATGAAGAGTTCTTTTTGAGGCGATTCTTCGAGGGCGAGTATGATGAGTACGCGCGGCATACGCCTTCTGGAGTCCCGTTCATCAGGTGATTTATGTCATGTTATTCTTTGCTTTAGAACAATTTGGGGAGTTTTTAGTGTTGTGATTGTGTAATCTTAATCGAAATTTAAATTGGTACTATATATAAGGTTGTTATGTTAACTTATTCATATTGTCTTTCTGGTTTTTTGTAATCTTCGTATGGCATTTTAGATCTTTTTTTTTTTTTTTTTTTTGTGTGTTGATGTTTTGGGGAAGAGGAAAACTCATTGATATCCAATAGTTTGGGTTATTGTTACTGCTTTATTTACTTACTCACATTTAAGAATTATAACATATTTATTAATAATACTATCTCCGACATCAAATTATAAGAATGGATATTGTATATTTAATTGTGATAAAAACTTTTATCTTTTAGGTTAAAGAGACATTTTTTTTAGTAAAAAATAAGCATTTTTTTTTTAGTTTTTTCACTTAAAAGTAAAAGTTTTTATTTTATCTATTTTTCTTAAAATTATATTGGGAGAAAATTACATCATTATACATTATTTAATTTTTATAAAAAATAAAAAATATGAAATTTATATTGGTAAGCAATTACAGTAATTTGTTTACAAATAATATATTTATTATTAAAATTATTATTTGCTTCAATTATAAACAAAAAAAAAAATATTAATAAATATTATATAATTATTAGTTATATAGGAAAATAATAACATATAGTATTATTATACAATATATCAATATTTATTATACTTCCTCTATCCGAGAGATTGTCATTTTTCATTTTCTCAAATTTACTATTTTTTAATTTAGTAATTAGATAACATATGTAACATAATAAATACTAAACGTTTTTATTTATATATTTTAGTTTAATATTTAATTTAATTACTTATTAAATTTATTATTTCAATTATTATTTTTTATAAAAAAAAAGATAATTGTATTAATAAATATATTATTTTAATATTTTAATATTTATTACTTGTATAAATTAATATTTTATCCATTTCAACTTAATTTACACTTTTCCATTTTTGTCTGTCTAATTAACAATGGACACTTCTTATTTTTGTTGTAAAAGTTACTAAATCAAAACATACTTAACAAATATAAATCAATTTCATTAACTAAATAATATATAATATAATAAGTATGTCTTATGTAAATTGTCTTTTTTGTAAAAATATAATTAAAATTCATAATTTATAATATTTTTTTATTTTAATTAAATTATTTAGTCATATTAATTTTAATTTATAATTATTTTTATTATAGTATAATTATTTTAACTAATATATTTTTTAATTACTTATCAATAATTATATTATACCTAAAACTTGTGTATCCAACTATGGACAAATTGAGATAGTATAATTTATTGAAATCTCTTTTTATTGATAGAGATTTTATACCATAAAGATTTTTGTAATTTAATATGCTAATTCAATAAAATTTACAAACTATAAAATTTTATAAATTGCTAGATACTTTTAAGATTTCAAATCATTTTCAAAATTTAGAATTAAATATCTTTAATTTTTTTAAAAAAAAAAATAAAAAATAAAAATCTGAATTGAATTTAAGATTTTAATTTACTTTTTAAAAAAAAAAAAATCTGAATTAATACGTTAAATTTTAAAAATCTAATAGAACGTTAGAAAATTTGATTCTGGACAACTTGTCCATGCATTATCATGGCCTTTATTGGGTTGAGCTAACACGTAATGTTGAGTTCTTCGAATCTGACAAGACTTTCCCTGTCTTGGACTCTCAGATTTGGACGTGATTGCGATGTTTCCAAAACGAAGAAAGCAACGCAGAAGATGTCTACCGAGCAGTGGCGCCTGCGCGCAAGGTGTTCGACGAATTGCCTAAACGCCTGATTACGTAACATTTTCTTATTAGCTAACACATTCTTACGTTATTAATAAATACAATCTATTTTACAGACTCTCAGAAAGGCAGCAATTTCATAGTTAATGTTTTCAATCAAATCTCAAAAACCTCAAAAACAACCCTTTTCAATTCAATGGCATAATCGAAAAGACTGTCTAAATTTGTGTTCTAACTGATTATAAGGTAGTGGCAGCTCATCTCGCACTTATTGTAGCTCACACTTTACAGTATCTTTTCTATGTCATCTTTCATAGAGATCATTATTGACTTATTGTATAATCTGCAAATAGTAAAGAATGCAGGTTTATGCTATTTTTCTCTGCACTCTAATGGCAGAACTCTGTATCTTTTCTTGTCTTGACAGTATGAGTAGAACATGTGGTTTCTCCTAGCCCACTCCATCCCTGCTCTCTGCCGGCTCGACAGCTTCGCAAACTGCTCGCCGCCAACAGGATCTAAGCTCGAAAGAGTCCTCCTCGAACACAAAAGATGAGTATGATTCTTCTGATTCCATACACACCCTTCCATTTCAATTCCTCTCATTGATGCCACAAATGGAGCATATTTATAATCGACAGGGTATTTTCCTCCATGAGTTGCCCACTCTGATCCATCCCAGATTGTCGTGTAAACCGACATCGGCTTTGATGGATAAATCGAGGAGATAGCCGCATCATGAACAACTTCTCTTACAGGTATATCATCCACCATGAACCTGCCATTTTGTTAATCGGGTAAATTATATAACACTCTCTCATGTTTTAGTAAAAATGCACATGCTTTATTTATCGCGTGAAACCTCTTTGTGTTAATGTAAAACTTACATATAATACCCTTTTCGTCCAAAACTTATATTTGATTGTAAATTCAGACTTAAATTATTCAAGTTTTTGTACAATAAAAGAGGTAAAATATTTTGAATGATCTTTTTTGAATAAAATAAATAAATAAATAATTGATCGGTCCTTCATTTTTATAATTTTTATAAAAATTAGATAACAAATTATCTTAAAAAAACTATAAAACGGAGAATTAATCGATTATTTACTTATATATTATATTAAAAATTGACTATTGAATATATTTACCTTTTTTATTTGTATAGAACTCATATAATTAAGTTCATATTTACAACCAAATATCAATTTTAGACGAACAAGGTATTTTGTGCAAATTTTACGTTAAAACAAAGGGGTTTCACACAGGAAATAAAACAAAGTGTGTTTTGTGTATTTTCGCTCAAACATAAAGGCGTGTTATATAGTTTACCCTCGTTAATTTCTATGTGTGTGTTATTTTCTCAACCAATTTCAGTGCCTTTTAGATCAAGAAAATTGAAAAATGTTAAAGTTTCTTACACTACATGATGTATGTTCCACAAGATGCTGAAGTTGTGAAATCCTTTGGTGGGATCGAACCAGAGGTGAAACTTCTCTTCCCTTCCTGTTTTTACGCTCCCATTGCCGTATATGTTAGTTTGTAGAACCCATCTTCCTCTTTTCTCATGGCCTAGAAGCTCGATATCCATCTCATCGTGGTTGTGTGGAAATGCATCTGCATTCGATAGCTGAAAAATATTTCATTATCACGACGCATATTATTACATTATAGTATGAATTAGAGTGATTATGAACCTTACATAGTATGCCACTACAACACCTGATGTAAAACCCGCCGGCAGCTTTATAGCGCCATTGAAGAACCCATAGTAATATTTGTTCTTCGACACTATTCCTGATCCTGCATAAACCCGAAAAAAATCCCAACAAAACCCACACAAATTTTTTAAAATCCACAAAAGAACACGACTTTATGATTGTTCTTGATGTATTTAGTTACCTGAGAGCTTATCTAAGCTAAAATTCACACCTCTCCCATCCTTCCTCGCGTGAACATTAGTCCTTCCGAAGAACACATTACAAGTTTGATTAACCGATTGCATCCTAAACCTACTAGTCGGCTCATAGGCTGCATAAATCCCGACTATCCAGCTGAAAACTAGAATGTAAGAGTATAGGAATGCAGAGATTGCCATGGATGAGGAGTTAAGGAATGATGAACATTAATACTAATAAGTTTGTGCTTAGTTGTTTCAAGCTGTCTGGATCTTGCAAGAATGGATAATCCCTATGCTTTAATTCTTTGGTGATGCAATTAATTTAGTTAGCAATAGAGAGTGGATAATAGTTTGGGAGTTTTGTGTGCATGGAAATGTTTTGAAAAAGTAGCTTTTTAGATCATAGCTTGGAGTCTGTAGGGGTAGGGGCTATAGGGGACTTTGCATTTCTTACACAGCTGGAACAAGAATCTCTCTTAATTGTGCTTTTATGAGCTTTTGGAAGAGCCCCTTGTGCTATTAAAGTTTGATGTAGCTTATGGCTTGTCTAATTTACCCATATTTTTTTTAATGAAAAATATGAGTAAATTATATGATATTCCTTTATGTTTTATAGTAAAAATGCATAGTATTTTATTTATTACCGTGAAATCCTTTATGTTAATATAAAATTTACACCAAACAATCTCATGGTCCAAAAGCTGATGTTTAATTATTAAAATATATAATTTATCAATTATTTATTTTGTTCAAAAAAAATTATTTCAAATATTTTACATTTTTTATTTGTATACAACTTGATTGTTATTTAGAATGAAACATCAAAATACTGATATTTTATGTATTTTTACTAAAATACAAAAGAGTATTATATAATTTACCTATAATTTTGATAGGAATGGAAAATAGATTCTTGGATACGCCAAGTTTCTCTAAATTTTAGTTGAAAAGTTGTGAGATTGGATTATGCATACAACTATGGCCCGGGCCCTTTTCCAGGGCCCATTTTCGAAAAGGGGCCCAAGTAGTTCTCAATAGTTATATATATAAATGAATAACAGTATTATAATTTTGTTTTAAAATAAATTTCAAAATAAATAAATAAATTTATATTTATTTTTAAATAAATTATTTTAATTTAAAAATTTTATTTTTAATTAACTTACTAATTATGTAGTTATGTGTATTTATAGTGTGTGTTTAATATTTATAATTTTTGGTAATTTTATTGTGAAATATGAAATTTTGTAAAATTATATATATTTTTGTTATTTTTATTTTATTGTGTATGTATATTTAATATTTAATTTATTTATATTAAAAAATTTGTATTTTAAAATATTAAACAATTGTGCTCTTTAGATTTTTTTTATTTAATCTGTATTTTTATTATTTATTCAAATTAAATGATTTTTATTATTGTCAAAATACACAAAATATGCTATTTAAGTGTTTTTATTTAATAAAATATTTCGACACACTTTAAGATTAATATTATCATAAAATGTAATATGCATATAATATGTATATATTCTGTCAACTGACCAAAATAAAACGATATTTAACCAAAAATATTAATTTTTATATTATAGATATATTTTACCATATTTAATATAAAAAGTATATTTTAAAATAAAAATAGCAAACACACTCTTATTTATTATTTTTATATATAAAATATAATTTTATTATTAAATCAAAATTTTATTATTATTTTTTTAATTACATTAATGGAAAAATATATTTAAAGGCCCATTTTTTTAATTTGCCAAGGAGCCTATAATAGTCAGGAACGGGGCTGCAACTATGCTACGGCCCAGAGGGTGTGGGTTCGATCCTCATGTTGTGTTTAAGTGTGCGCATGGTTATAAAAGATAAATAATAATAGGCAAAATTGTCCATCTAGTAAAAATAAAATTGAAATAATTTTGAAATGACAAAAAAAAAAAAAAAAAAGTGTTTTGGGATATTTTATATTATTTTATTTATTTGGGGTATCTTCGTGGAAGATGAGATTTTACTATTTGGACTTGTTTTCTAAAAGAAAAATATATTTTCCATCTAAAAAAATATCACATCAAATATTATTTTAATATCAAGCATAAATCAAAATTTAACACACCCAAAATTTTCTATATTTTTTCAATTAATATGATTAAAAATAAAATAAAATAAAAAAATATTTTAAAATGAGCACACTTTTATTTAGGCCATCTTCACCTAATACCCAGGACTATAACAATTTTTTCCATTTTTGCAGGACGTGATACATTATATCACTCTCAACCATACTTTCTATTTTTGTATACTACAGTAATTTATCTCCAATGGTTCGGGATCAAACCCGATCATATCCGGACCCGGCTCGAATAATACCCGACAGACCCGATTTTTTTTTTAATTCTTAAAAAAAAAATTAACTTAAAATTAGTCCCGAACCAACATTAAATATTTTATTATTTTTATATATTTAATTTTAAAAATATTCTAAATATTATTAATAAATTAAAATAATTTTTATTATCATTTGATCTTAAAAAATAGTAAATATTTTTAAATTAAATAAATTAAAATTTAATACTCCCTCCATCCTTAAACAAAGTTGTCGTTTACTTTTTGCACGTAAATTTTTTAATACTAATATTATAATGAATTGTGGTGAAAAAGATGAAAATACCCCTATTAGTATTGTGTAATATAAAAGTAATGTCATTTGTGTAATATAGTGTAAGTTTAAATGGTATTTATTATGTTTGGTAGATAGTACAATTACTAAATTATGAAATGATAACCTTATTTTGAGACAGATAAAAATGAAAAATGACAATCTTTCCATAGACGGAGGGATTATTAGTAAACAATATTTATGCAAATTAGAAAAAAAAAATATAATATTATTTAATTAAATATAATAAATACAATATAAAAAATAATGTTAATTATAAATTTAAAATATAAAAATAATTTACTTTATAAGTAATAAAATAGAATCACAAAAAATAAAATAGATAGGAGGTTAGAGGAATTTTGTCTCACCCTCTTACCAAAGAGGGTGACAACTCCAAATTTGTAGGGTGAATTGGAAAATTCATCTTGAAAATTTGCTATTTTTGCGGAGTGAGTTAAAGATAGTCTTAGTTATAATTCAATTTTTTTTGCAAAAGTTAATATTTTTATGTTAAGTAATTCATTTCCAACTCAATAATATTCTTTTTAATATTTTAAATATTATATGCTTAATTTTTTCGATTATTGAATATTGTATATTTAATTTTATATTGTATGCCAAAAGTTACTGATAGCCATGACAATAGGAGAGAAGGACTTCTTCTGCAACCTAAGGGTGTGTTTGTCCGAGGGTTTGGATTTTGAGTTGAGATTTGAATAGTAAAATTTTTTAATTTAAATAGTTGTATAATGTGATATAAATAGGTGTTGATGTGATATTTTGAATGTAAAATTGATTTTTAGTATAATATAAAAAATGAAAAATAGATATTTGATTTGATTTTTTGGGGAAAAAAAATTGGATGAATAGTATAAATCTAATCCAATCTCCAAAACAAACACACCGTGAATACGTTTTTATTTATTTAATTTCTTTTTTTATAGTTAGTATTTTTAAAAGAATAAAAGTAGATAACGTGTTTTATATCAAATGTTTGTTTAGTATTTCGTGTTCGGGTTTGCTTTAAAAATCATAAGTTGAAATTTTGTTTTATGTTATTTAAATATTCTTTTAAGCGATATTTAAAATATAAAATTATTTTGTTTAGGATAATATAAAAATAAAATATAAGTATTTAATTTTGTCTTTTGTTCATGTATATTTCATATTTTATTTAGATTTATGTTCAAAAATTTTAGTATGGATTTATATTTATTACTATTACTTTTAGAAAAAAGAGAAGTATTTAATCTATCATCAAAACTTATGTGTATGATTGAGTATATGTTTTAAAAAAAATAGATAAAAATGTATATATATAAATTTTATTATAAAGAAGGTGTTTTTACTATATATATATATTTTGTAATACAACTTCGTTCTGATCGAATGCAACATTTTGAATTTTATAGTACATTAAGAAATACTTTTTCCGTCTTATTCTTTTTGTCTATTTTTTTGTAGTTAAATGAATTTAGATAAAATATAATTAGTAAATAATTAAAAAGTATATTAGTACAAATAATTTTTTATATTATATAATAAATTTTAAAAATTAAATTAAATTAATTAATTAATTTAATTAATATTAAAATTTATTATAACATTTAAAATATGATTAAATGCAATTATTTTCACTGAAAATGAAATGACAAAAAAGATGAGACAGATATAATTAGAAATAGAAATATTGGACGAAGAAGGTGGAATAGAATGAATAATATTTTATTAATTAGTAAAATTATAAAATAATTTTAGTATTTTTTGCATTTTGTATTTTATATATATGTGTAATGCTATATTTGCAATTTATGTAAAAAAAAAAAAAAATATTTTGAATTTATTGTATAATTATTTTTAATATAATAAAAAAATAATATTTAAAGTAGGACATACAAATATAATAATAACGATACCGTTAAATATATAAAAATGTATATTATCAATCATGAATATAAAATTAACTGTTTCAAATAAAATTATCAAATAATTATTATAGAATAATTTATCAAAAAATTTATGTAATATTAATATACAACTTATATGTAAAAATTTATTTATGCTTTAAATTTTCTATTTGAAATAGACATATGTTTAATATATTGAAATATTTTTATTAAATTATTAATTATATTAAAATAAAATTATAATCTATGCAAATATATAATTAAAATTATATTTGAATTTATATTATCAAAGTTTTGTTTGTTTATCAATATTGTATACTGTTTTTCTTATAGTGTTTTTTTTGGCTTGAAATGTACTCCCTCCTTCCCAGATATCGTGTCTGCCTGCAGACACAATATTTTAGGAGGGGTGTAATTAGTAGATAATTAAGAATGTATTAGTAAAAATAATTATCCTATAATATAAATAATATAAATTAAGATTAAGATAACTAATTAGTTTAATTAAAATTTAAAAATTTAAAATGAGATTAAAGTGTGTAATCATTTTTCAAAAAAAGAAAAGTGACATGGTACGTGGGACGGACAGAAACGTCAACGTGGACATGGTATCTGAGACAGAGGGAGTATTAATTTATTTATAGAAAAAAATATAGAGAAGTTTATGTTAATTCGAAGGAATAACTAAAAATTTATGAAACTCTTTTTGTTAATTCGAAGGAATAACTAAAAATATATAATTAACTAACTTTGTCTTTTCTTTTTTTATCCTCTTTTTGTTACCATGATGTCATGAGAAAGTCGTGATTTGATGTTATTACTGTGACAATACATATATCACTGCAAACCTATTTTAATAATTCCTTCCTCTGGCAACCCATCACAATATTTATTTATTTATTTATTTTTATAACGTATTTATTTTATTTTATTATCACAAAGAGTAATTAACTGTGGTTTTTATTCGATTTAAATTTCATTTGTTTAAATCATTATAAAAATGTTAATCATGTAATTTTATGAAAATAATAATGTTACACGATTCTATGTTGTCTAAAGTAATAAAATTGTAACCGTAATTTTATTTCTTGTTATTAAAATAATGTTACACGATTCTACGTCGACTGGATTGTCACACCCTTGGTCAAAGAGGACTCATTTATTCGAGATCCTGGACCCCGACACCATAACGGTCGTGGTCTCAACTGGTGCTGAGGTCCATGGAGCTCCCCAAATGCCAGCACATGCCACTAGGATGCTCGTCTACCGCTAGCCGAATACATGACAAAAAAACACTCAATTATTATTTATTTATTTATTTTTTAATAATTTGAATACATACATTCTATAACTATTCCTATTTCGTAATTCTTAATTATGTAATATGGAATATCACAATCCTTACCTCATCGTCGTTCTAAAATTTCCAATTTTAGTTTGTTTGGATGATATATGTAATATTTATATTATTATTATTATTTTTTAAATGTAATAAAAACAGTAAGTCGGATAAACTTAAATAAGCGGCGCGGCGTGGCGTGGCGCGCCGCCCAACATCAACGCGAGATTTGTACTTTGCAAGAGTTCGCATCACGGCACCATTCTTCGCCCACTTTCAGAAGACGCGCGTGGTCCCCACCTGCCACGTCATGCCACCGCTGTGATATTACCCTTTTGCCCCCGTCGCACCCTTTTAACACACCGTTCCGTATTGTTTGCTATTAAGTTTTAAAATATTATACTAGTTTAATTCTAAAACAATTGAATTATTTCCTTTTTAGCATTATAAAAGTTAGAGTAACTATACAATGGATTCTTATTGGCTAAAAATTTAAATTTTGTAAATTATATATAATTTTATTATATAAATGTGAGTAGATATAATTTATGCAGGTTACTTTTTATTTAAATTTTGAAATGATAAAATTTCAATTTCATTTTTAGCATTATTAATTTTTAAAATTTTAATTTAATTCTAAAATAATTTGATTATTTCTTTTTTAGCATTATAAAAGTTAGTAACTATTTTTTTTTATTATATAAATGTGAGTAGATATGAATTATGTAGGTTACCTTCTATTTAAATTTTGAAACAATGAAATTTCAATTGACTTCTTTAAAAATTCAAACAATTTCCTTTTTAGTATTATTATTTTTTAAAAATATTAGTTTAATTCTAAAATAATTGAATTATTTCTTTTTTAGCGTTATAAAAGTTGTAAGGATACAATCAATTCTTATTGGCTAAAAATTTAAATTTTGTAAATTATATATATATATATTTTATTATATAAACGTGAGTAGATATGAATTATGCATATTACCTTCTATTTAAATTTTAAAATGATAAATTTTCAGTTGACTTCTTTAAAAATTCAAACAATTTCATTTTTAGCATTATCAATTTTTAAAAATATAAGTTTAATTCTAAAATAATCGATTTTTTTCTTTTTTAGCATTATAAAAGTTGTAATAATCAATTCTTGTTGGCTAAAAATTTAAATTTTGTAAATCATATATATATTTTTATTATATGGATATGAATTATGCAGGTTACTTTCTAATTAAATTTTAAAATGATAAAATTTTCAATTGACTTCTTTAAAAAATCGAACAATTTCTTTTTTAGCATTATTAATTTTTTAAAATATTAGTTTAATTCTAAAACAATCGAATTATTTCTTTTTTAGCATTATAAAAGTTATGAACTATACAATGAATTATTGTTGGCAAAAACTTTTAATTTTGTAAAATATATATATATTTTTATTATATAAATGTGAGTAGATATGAATTATGCATGTTACCTTCTATTTAAAATTTTGAAATGATAAAATTTTAATTGACTTCTTTAAAAACCGAACAATTTCCTTTTTAGTATTATTATTTTTTAAAAATATTACTTTAATTCTAAAATATTCGAATTATTTCTTTTTTAGCATTATAAAAGTTAGTAACTATACAATGTGTTCATGTTGGCTAAAAATTTTAAATTTTGTAAATTATATATATTTTTTATTATATAAATATGAGTAGATATGAATTATGCAGGTTACCTCTATTTAAATTTTGAAATGATAAAATTTCAATTGACTTCTTTTAAAATTCAAACAATTTCCTTTTTTGCATTATTAACATTACTTACTTACTATACAACTTATTTTTGCTGACTCAAAATTAAATTTTGTAAAATCTATATTATCATATAAAGAAATAAAATTTAATTTAATTCTATAAAAATTAAAAAAATTCCTTTTTAGTATTATTAACATTACTTACTCCGTTTGCATTTTTTCTTTTAAAAAATACGTAATGTATTTATTCACTTACTGTTTTTTTTTTTTTTTTGGATGAATTTGTTTTTATTTTAGATATATATATATTAAATTATTGATTTATGTAAGTGAATAAAGTATATATATTATACTTATATTATGTTAATATAATTATATATATTGTATTTTTATAATATTAATAGATTATTGTACCACAAAAAAAAAATGAACAAACCACATATATAATTATATAAAAATAACTAAATATTTCTTTAAATTTGATTTGAATTTTGTATTAAAATAATATTTAATAAAATATTTATAAGAAAAAAAAATTATTTTTTTAAAAAAATACAAAATACAAATAGCCAAATTTAAAAAAAAATTTGCCAAAAAAACACATCCATGATGGATTTCAAGTTACCTTCTATTTAATTTTCAAAACAATAAAATTAAAATTTGCTTTAAAAATGCAATAAAGCTGAAATTATCCAGAATAAATGCAATAAATTCTCACCTTATTAATAAATAAAGAGCACCAAACCTGACTTACTATAACTCCACCAAACAAATAATTACAGATACTACAAACCCACTGAAAACCTGCAACAGCAGTCATATAACAAGGAGCACATATTTTCCGAACCCCAGGACCTGTGAACCGCTCAATCCTAACCACTCATTTTCCGTCCCCACATAATCGAACGGTGATCATTAAACTGGTCTCCAAATCCAGGGATCGATTAAAAAATAAAAAGAAAATCAAGCGGCAGCTTCAGATAGACTCGAGTAACAAATCCATAGCGAAAAGTCCAAAATACCCCCGCGACGGAACCGGGACATTTTCGTCTTTTCACTCCTGCACTGCCCTTCCCTACCCCCCACCGGCATTTTTTTCGCTCTACACTAATTTCAAGAGAACCCCGCCGGGCAGTTTTCTCCCTTTTCTCTCTCTCTGCTGCAATTCTATCGTGGCAAAGACAGTCGAAAAGTGTCTTCTTCTGGCGTCTCCATTCTGGTTTGCGGATTTTTCTCTGCCTGGTTTTGCGGCCTTTCGAGCTTTTTTTCGTTTCTAGACCGACTGATTTTGGTGCGTTTTCGTACTACCCTGTTTTGACCGAAACCATTTAAGCCCTCTGCTATTTCATAGTATAGAGCCGTTGTTTTACACCTTCGATTTTTGATTCTCTGGGGTTAGATTGTTTCGGGGAGTGTCTTTTTTGTGTGTAATAGCTTTGGGAGTTTTGTGTCTGGTGGGAGAGAAGGAGGAGCCGCAAAAAGTGTTCTTGCGGATTACTCTTTGAGAGACGGAGAGTGAGAGTAGAAGTAGTAGTGGCGGAAGGGGGAGGTCGACAATGCGTTTTAATATAGATCTGAATGAAACGCCTGTCCCGTCTCCGCGTGAGACCGTCGGCGAAGCTGGCATTCCGCTTTGTTCGGTTTGCGGGAAGGGGATCCCCGTCGGGAGGGTTCCCGGAAAAGCAGGGCAGGAGAGCAAGTGCTTTCGCTGCTTGCTGAGAAGTGATGCCGCAGGGAGCAGTAGCGGTGGCGGTGGATGGAGAGTTGGAGACGGCGGCCCAGTCGGTCTGTTGGACATGAACGCTCCACCGCCGCGGGAGCCGGAGGAGGGCGATTGCGTGGAGGTTTTTGCAGTCCCGGACGGGTATGGCGGTGGCAAGTACGAATTTTACATCATTTTGTATTATTTTATTTTGCTGTATTTTGGTATTCAAAATCGATCCTTTTCCTCCAATTTCTTGCTGTTTTGATGCTGCTCATACTGTATGAGAGCTTCAATTCCGTTTGTTCTAGTCGTTTAAGCTAGTACATGATCGATTTCTTCATTTCTTTTTAACTCATTTGGCTTGCATATAAAGCCCTGGTTCCCAAAGACACTAATTGTGTTTCCTGGGGTGAGAATTTTCTTATCTGCTCTGTAAGTATAATCACGGTTGCTTTTCGTCTCAAGTAGCAATCAATCTGTAATTTTGTATTCGCGGCTTTGGGTGCATTGGGTTGTATATGTCCTGTGAATGCCTTTTGGAATGGGGAGGGCACTCCCAAGTAACTTCAGGATAACCAAGTTGGTTAGTTCGTTGTAAAATCCTTTCAAGAGTTTTATTGGTAGAATTGAGAAGTTGTTTGGATTCACATATACTTGTTCAAGATTATAAAAGCATTTAAAGAATTTGAAAAACACTTTTGAATTTTAATTGCAGTTTTACATGAAATTATGTGTAAGCTAATGAAGAAAGAATTGGAAAGAACATTCTCAATAGTGGGATCACTAATGTAGTTAATGGTTTTATGCAAAATACATGTAAAACATTATGGATAATAGACTTGAATAACATATTTTAGTCATGCATATCACTTGTGGAATTTGTGGTATTGTAAACTAGCTGTTAATAAAGCTATTGAGGGATAGTAGGCGTGAATATGTGACCTTTTTTTAGGAATGCTGTATGGGGTTTAATTAATCCTTCTTTTCCTTTTCAATTATTTTGTTTATGAATTGATTGTTACTGAGACTATTACTACAAAAGTCTCGAATTCCCTTCTGAGCTGACGAAGGGACTTTGTAACACATGATATTTTTCTTCAATCAAATAATGAGATTACTGATCAAGGTAATAAATGATGATTGTATCGAGACTACTATTCTAAAAGGTTCGAATTCTCATCTAACCTCACGAAGGGACTTAAATATCATATGATATTTGCCTTCAATCGAGTATGGGGATTACTCATCAAGGGAATGAGTCTTCTACAAGACTGCTACTCCAAAAGGTCGGATTTTCTTCTTTTAGCGAAAGGACTCAAGTATCATATGATATTTGCCTTCAATCAAGTATTGGGATTACTCATCAAAGTAAGGAATGATGCTTCTACAAGACTACTACTCCAAAAGGTCGGATTTTCTTCTTCTAGCGAAAGGACTCAAGTATCATATGATAGAATCAATTATCGTAATTACTTATCCAGGGAAGAAATGATGATTCTACCAAGACTGCTACTCTAAAAGGTTTGAATTCCCCCTTAAGCTGGCGAAAAGGCTCAAGTATCATGTGATATTTGCCTTCAATCAATTATCGGAATTACTCGTCAAGGTAATAAATGATGATTCTACCAAGACTACTACAATAGGTTCAAATTCCCCTCTAAGCAGATGAAGAGACTCAAGTATCATGTGATATTTGCCTTCAATCAAGTATCGGATTACTCATCAAGATAATGAATGATGATTCTACCGAGACTACTACAGTAGGTTCAAATTCCCCTCTAAGCAGACGAAAAGGCTCAAGTATCACTTGATATTTGCCTTCAATTTTCAAGATTATTCATCAAGATATGAAATGATTATTCTACCGAGACTTCTACTCTAGAAAGTTTGACATCCGTTCTAAGATGGCGAAGGGACTCAAGTATCATATGATATTTGCCTTTAATTTCCTTTGAACTTTTTCTCGAAACATATTTGACACATGATTGGTTCCAAAAAAATCATCTGTCATTGTTCTTGAAATTTGTTAATAATTGTGCAAGTTTCCTAATGTTCCTCATGTTTTATAATGAGAAACATTATTTTCACATGCTTGATGTTTTTGCAACTTTTGGATTCCAAATATTACAATCTTGTGGGACCTACTTTGTAGTTCACATTTCAAGTCATGGAGGTATCTGCTTGCCGATGGATGATCATAGTGGTCCAAAATGTGTATTTGGAAGCTTCTAATTTGCCAATTATTGATCATGGTTGAGCCGCACACTCAATCACGATTGGCATTCACTCGTTAGCTTTTGTCAATGTTGCCACAGAAAGTGGTTTCATCACAAGTCTTGTTTTTAATCTTTATGCATTTCACCGCTCTATTGGAAATTCTTGCTTTTCCACTATATACTCTAGCACAAATCCTTCCACAAGCAAGATTTCTCACAAGCAATTGCTAGGGCTGTTGGATTTGATCGTCATAAAGCAAGGTTTACTTGCCATCATTGTAATATCACCAATCGTTTTTCCTTATTATTAAGAAATGAAAAATATAGCCAAACAATGAGTTTGGTGTACTTTGCACACCAAACTTAGCAAAATAATTTGTAAAAACATAGTGCAATCAAGGTTTCGAGAAAGGTATTTAGACAAAGTGGCAAAAAGTATTAGTTACCAAGTTCTAGTTCCTTGAGAGAGTTCCTTTAAGGATCCAAAAATGGGCCACTTTAGAGTGGATCTTAACACGTGCAAGGTAAGGACCCGATATAACCAATTAAGAAGGCATTTTCTTAATAACCAAGTATTATCCACATTTGAGTCTGCGAAGGTAATATGTTAAGAGAGGATAAAAGGCTAGCCAGACTTGGATTCTGAAAGTAGAACCATTTGAATTGATTTTTCGCAAACTAACTGTAAGGGCCTTCCATGAAGACAGTGGCTTTAGCCACACTTACAACATTCTAGCAGTTGAAGAAATGATTGTCCTTGGAGAATTTACTCCTTAGACGTGCTATATTGGGCCTCATAATATATTGACATGTTCTTTTTTTGATAATGTATATTGACATGTTCTTTGTAATAAGTGAACTTGATCAAGCAAAAAATTGTATCATTAAGACAAACAAATGAGTTATGAGAATTTAAAGATAGCGACTTTGCCAATTGATCTTTTCTTTTTCTCAATCGCTTGGATCACCTTTTCTTGATTTATTTACTTATTCCTTGTTAAATTGGCTATTTCTTTTCTATTATTTAATGGTCTAAGGTTTCAAACCCGTGGTAGTAATTGTTCTCGTATTTTATCCTTGTTACATTTTCTTAATAATAAGAAATTGCTAAAAACATCTAAGTAGTAAGCATTTGACCAAAAACAAGCAAGAAGGTGATTACCACAAAGAGAAAATGGCATATGATTCATCCACGTTAGTTTTTTTTTTTCATATATCCAATCCCCATCTTCACATACATGTCTATTTGGCCGAGCCTTTGTTTTTGCAACCAAGATTCTATTTTACCCGTCCAAGCGCAGTAGAACTCAAAAGAAACAAGCAAAAGGTGGATTACCATAAAGAGAAAATGGCGTATGATTTATCCACGTATTTGATTTTTTCATATACTCAATCCACATCTCACATACATGTCTATTTGGCTGAGCCTTTGTTTTGCAACCGAGATTGTATCTTACCCGTCCAAGCCTAGTAGAACTCAAAAGATGAAGTATCGTTAATTTCTTCATGCTCCGTTCCAAGTTTGAAGTACCATTTGTACAAATATGGACCCCACCCCCCATTTTTTTATAATCTTTTGAGAAAAAGATTTATTTGTCATCTCTTTATAAAAAATAGAAGGTAGAACTAATAAAATTTACCTTTTACAAAGATTTGAGGTCACTTTATGTTTATGTTGTATTTCTTTTTATTGAGAAATCAAAGAGGGTGGGCATTTTAGCAAATGTTTTTAATCTACCCATGTACCAATTTTTATTGAAGCTCATACTCTGACGCGGTTGAAGAAGGTTTGATTGATTTAATATCAATGAATTTAGAAAAGACGACTGAGGGTCGGAACAAAAGCATGACATAAATTCTTGGAATGCCGTGGGCACTCATAGGTCTTCCATCATTCTTAGGTAGTTTACCACTATTTTGAAAGAACGAAGGCCTTGCTATCCTTGAATCATTTTATAGCCGAGCTATTGGTTGAGACTTCTCAAAGCCAAAGTAGCTACTATTCACTTAATCTTCCCGGTTTTAATTGCTTCTTCACTCTCAATTGTAGCTACTTTGGCTAGGTTTTGATTACCATATATATCGTCAGTTGACCATACCCATAATTACAACATTCAAAGGCATATACTTGTCTTCAATTTCTAAATTTGTCTAAATTTTAATGATACAAGCATCGCCATAGTATCTTTCCATAATATTAACGCTCATTATCAAATAATATTGGTGTGCGACAACTTTTTAGGTTGATAAAGTAATAAGATATGAAGCCTCATTAATTTACCCTGGAAAAATCTTAAAGAGCAACATCCTAATCAAGTCATCTCATTCCTTGGATCGACAATATTTGATTCTTGTATAGCTTCTAGTGTTCTCATGCAAATTGCTAATCCTTACACATTATCTTCATATGAGGGGATAATTTATTTCTTATTTTCCCAATTATGGTATTTTAGCTGTCCGCATGATTAGCTATGCAAACATTATAAATAATACAATATGTCGGTGTTTATGGAAGCCCACGCTTGTGGATGACCAGAGAGCTTATTGTAATGTGCAATCTTTAGAGTTTCAAAATTAACAAAGCCTCATTACTTGACACATGTATTCAATAATTTTCTTTATAAATAAAAAATATTGCCATACTAATAAATTAGTTGGGCTTATTGTATTGGATCTAAAAAATGCATAGTTATGGGCTGATGTTCGATCCATGAAGCTCAATCATGGCATTCAATGCTTTTGCGCATGGCTCTAAAGTTGTTTTTGTCATTTTATTACTAGCTAAATCTTGAGGCAACCTTTTTGGGTAGAATGCCCTCTGCAGTCTTTGTTGATCCTTTCACTTGGTTCCATTCATTGGGGTGATTTTTTTGTTTGGTGGTAGCTTTTCTATCTGTAACTTTGTATATATTTTAAATCTTGTCGTACTTGCATTGTTTTCAAACCCTATTTCAGTTTCCCTGGCCATGAGCTTTAGCTCGTTGCAAAACTATTTAAACATTAGCCTACATGTCTTGGCAGCCAGTCATTTATATGAAAACTTGATTTTGGGCTTGATAATTATTATGCTATTTCCCTCTCCTGCATTGTGCCTAGTTATACGCATGTGGATGAAGATATGACATAATTGCTCATAAAATTCGCCTTTGTAAAAGTGCAAATTGATATTCATCCATTTTTATTATCCCCTTATTGCTGTGGAAATTGAAGGTGTGATATTTTTGTATTTTGCTATGGTTAGCATGATACTTTCCGTTGATTTCAAACATGTTCTATTATCTGTTTGTTCACTCACATTACATATACAGAAACTTGTTTGCTGTTAATTAATGGTAGAAATGTTGTCATTTTAGTTAGAATGGTCCAAAGTTTTGAACTTGGTTGAAGTTATAACATGGTAGATATTGCTCTTAAATTGAATGTCATTCAAATATACCCTACCGTGCTGAAGCTTATATTCTTGGTTGGCACTATAATTTTCCACTGTTGTTTTTTGTTTTTCTTTTATTCTTTTTGGGCATTGTTACTAAGATTCTCTTCATTTCCTTATTTAAGCTACCCACTACTTGCATCATTTAACTCTCCATCCCTCCTAATGTACTTAGTATTGGACTCACCATTTAGGGCTCCTCACATCTCCTATATTATTGAGGCGTAAAGATACACTGCTGCCTTTTTTTTTTTTTTTTCTAGTTGATCTAATCTTCTTCACGTACTATGGCTAGATGCTTCCCACAATGGTATCACTAGGAGGGTTTGTCAATGCAATAACTTGTTTCTTCCATGTGTTTTTGAGTTTTTTGTGCTCAGGATCTTTCCTCAGTTTCTATTTGATTTGATCATATGTATTTCCATCTGCAGATCCAACGTCTTAGCTTTCGTGTATTTATTATTTGCAGGATTCAGTCTTCAGTCCCTTCTTCCTCTAGCCATCATGCTGCGGTAAGACAAATGAATCCCATGCTGGATGACGTTGGGCTATATCATCAGAAAATGATGTCTATTGCAACAGAGGCAACTAATTCTGGATTTGAAGACATGTCACGACAGAAATTACATTTGGAAGAGTTAAATTCTGTTCGCAAGGAATCCACATTTGATTTGAGGGTCCAGGGTCTTCATACTGCTTCCCCAGTAATTGAACTGGATAGCAGCCCAAACATGGTATATTTACAAAATCTTAAGGATTATATCGCTGACAGATCAGGTGTTTTGGGAGACGGCTGGTGTGTGGAATTTGAATTCTGCAATAGAAGGTACAAGACTACGGCTGTCTATATTGCACCTGATGGAAGCAGGCTGAAGTCTATGGAGGATGTTGCTCACTATATAGGATTGCCTTCACGGTATCAATCAATGGAGATTGAGAGGGAAAGTAGTACTGGTTTTGGCTTAATTCAGGGTGGGTTGAAAAATGATCCCTCAAAGAAGGAATCCTCTGCTTTTCTGACATCCCAAAACAGCAGACAGAGACAGAGGATATCGAGTGCCATAAAAAACCAGGGTATCTTGTCTGGCGTAACTATCCTTAGTGAATCAGAGTTCTCATATAATAGGGGCTCAGAGGATGTTGGATTTTCAAAGAATGGTGGCATTCATGTAAGTTTATACTTTCTATACCTGAAATTCTCTACTACTTGTGTTTACTTAAATCTGCTTCCCTACTTGATTGTTATCATGTCATCAAGCGCCTAGAGAACCAAAGCATTGGAAAAAATGATTGTGTACATGGATGAATTGTTGTTGGTAATCTTATACTTGGTTCAAGTTACAGGCAATAACCTGTACTGTTCTTTTGATAGCTTCAATAGTTTGCATTCATATTTATATAATGTGTTTTGCACTTGTTGAGGCTATAGAGGTTGGTGTTTTATATACATCCCGGTAGAGAGTTAGCTCTTCCAACTGAGATTTGGGTGTTGCCAACAGAAATTGTGACAAATTAATGAGCAACAACTTCTCTTCTAGCTTCTGTGTACTATAGAGCAGTTCTAGAACAGTGTACCATATTTATGACTGAATTTATTTATTTATTTTTTTCAGGATGGCTTCCCAATTCAGTTTCAGGACTTCTTTCTTATATCAACTGGCAATGTTGATCCAAGGCCTTCATACCATTGTTCCAGTCAAATCTGGCCAGTTGGTTACAGATCTTGCTGGCACGATCGAGTGACTGGGTCTCTTTTTGTATTTGATATTGCAGATGGTGGTGATTTTGGTCCCATTTTTAAGATTCAAAGATATCCATGCACCAAGCAATCCCTACCTGTTGGCTCAACTATCCTCTCAAAGGTAAAACCACTTTCCAGCAGAGCGGATGGCAAAGTGGGGAAAGAGAATTTGGCTGTATTCCAGGTGGTTGATGATGATAGCATATCTACAATAACCCTGCTCAATGAAGGTAGTCCCCCGTCGCTTGACAATTGTCTCTCTATGCCAAAGAAAGAAGATGGCATCCATAATTTGCAAGAAGACAATTCTTCTAATTCAGATATGGAATGTCCACCTCATAGATTTGAAAACTTGCTAGTTGATGGAGTAAGTCTCACTGATGTCGTTGGGGAATTTAAAGCTGAGGGCAGGTCAACATCTTCTGCGTGGGAAATGGTTACCCAGGGTTTCTTGCAAGGTTTTCATTCGGCATATAAACAAAAAGGTGCAATTAAGTTTTTCTGTGGCCATGACGTACAGGAAGCTAATGATGAAAACCTGTTTTGCAATGGTTCTCTTTCAAAATATGGTTCTTTTGAAGGTCGTGTGACCATCCCATCTTTGGTTCAGAATGAAAAAGACATTAAAATAGCTTGTGAAATGCTGTTGGCCTGGTTAAACCAGGACAGGTTTGGACTAGATGCAGATTTTGTTCAAGAAGTTATTGAACAATCTCCTGGAGTAACTTTATGTAAAGAATATAAGAGTTTGAGTAAAAGAAGGCACAATTCCATTCTACAAACAGTTGGAAGTGGGTTTTTGAAGGCTGAACGGAAGACAAACAATCACTCTGGGGCTTTGAAAAGATCTCAGTTAAAATCAGGTGTCACTGAAAGCACATTAAAGAGGAACCCCTGTCCTCCTGGCACACCCCTTAACTCAAAGCTCCCATCATATTTGATGGGTGATGCTTTGCAGGTGCGTGAAACTCTTCCTATTTGATATCAAATTATGTTTTTATGCCCTTATTATTATATCTCTATCTTGTTTCAGGTTTGGGAGTATGCCTGCCGTTATTCAGATGTTTTGGGGCTTGGACTAGACTTTTCCTTTCAGGAACTCGAATCAGAATTAGTGAGCCCCTGGGTAGATACCTACCCCTTAAAATCAAGAGATGATATTGGGAATGGGCCTCCCTCCATTGGAGAGAAGGTTCCTCAAGCTGAAGCTGCAAGTGTTAGTAGATGTAGTGGTCTTCTTTCAGCAAAGATTATTGCCTCACTGCTGAAAGTTCTTGTTAGTGAGCTGATGTCTAAAGCAGCAGCACAAGTATGGCCTAATTCTGATACTGGAGAACCTAAATCAAGAAGAGGAAAGAAGAAAGATCCGGATTCTTTGGCTGCATTTAAGAAAACAAAACCTCACATGCTGCCTATCAATGATCTTACTTGGCATGAAGTTGCCCATAGATACATTTTAGCTGTTTTGTCAATGGGGGGTGATTTTGAATTTACAGAGATTTCTAGTCAGGAAAGTGGCAAAGTTTTTCATTGCTTACAAGGTGATGGAGGAATACTCGGTGGATCTATTATGGGCATAGCTGCCCTGGAGAGAGATGCAGCGGTAGGTCCATTGCACTTTATGTTGGTGTATTTACTGATATAATGCAGTTTCTCTATATGAACTTGTTTCCTGGTTTTGCATTATTGTGTTGTCACTCTTTATGTTTCTAATTTTGTGATCCACAATTACTAGTGGTTTGTGTTTTATTAGCATGCATGCAGGTGGTGGAAGGAGTTAATTCCCTGGGCAAATTACATATCAGGAAGAATATGGGGGTCCTTGACTGTTTGGTTGCCTTCGTATTATTGTGGAGTATCAAGTATCAACTAATTTGGATAATGGATATATGATGAGCTCATGATCTGGTTATGTGAATTCTTGTTGGATGGTCCATACTTAGTTATGCTGAGAAGTAAAACAATTAGCTTAATTATATGTTTTGGAGGACATACTCTTTCATTGCTCAATGTTTAATGATATATGCTGCTTGATCTAGTTTTCATTGATCTGTTCTTTCGTAGGATTTAATTGGATCACCAATCATTTTCCCCTAACTCGAAACCAATTAGTAGAAGTTTGTTGCTCATGTGATGTTTATCATGTATTCATGGCCAGAGATAATTCTTCTAACTGCTTGTAGGATTTAGATCAGTGTTAAAGTTTGTTGTTGCTTTGTTGTCATGCTAGACCTGCCTTAAATATATCTTTCTTTTCAGTTACTCCTTTTCTCCTTGATTTATTATATCATTGTTGAGTGGTTACATTGTATTTTATGCAATTTTCAGGTTTTGGCAGACGCTGTGAAAGAAATATATGGTTCGTTAAAGGGTAAAAGTGAGGTTGTGAGTTTATCTGAAAGAGATTCTGATGCCAATGGTGCTCAAACAATTGAGGTAAATGATGGTTCTATCCCTGAGTGGGCTCAAGTTCTTGAACCAGTAAGAAAGTTGCCAACAAATGTTGGGGCCCGCATACGAAGATGTATCCATGAAGCTTTGGAGAGGAATCCTCCTGAATGGGCTAAGCAGAAATTAGAATATTCTATTAGTAAAGATGTTTACAAAGGAAATGCTTCTGGCCCTACGAAGGTAATGCCTTTGTTTATATTTCAATAGTCGTTCAAAGGTGAAGAGAGACTTCGAAACACTGTAGTCATTTAACCTGCAGTCATCACAAAAGTTCCTTTTTTAAAATGCCATTTTTTATCTTGCTTAAGAATTCCTATTTATTTAGATGACCACTTGTTATAAGGAACTCAAGTCATTTCAAGTCGTACCAAAATGTTACATCAATTGGTGATTTTGTATATTGCTGTGATATTCTATTTGGTGATAAAGTCAACTATTAGTTCCTAGAGGTTCTGAAATGTTTAAATGCACACACTTTGTAGTTTTGCATGAAGCTAGCATACTGTATGTGGAAGATACAAGGTGAAGTTAATTTTTCTGTTGTTTGAATACAGAGGGCTGTTATTGAAGTGCTTTCAGACTTGAACTGTGATAACGCACAGCCTAGAGCTGAGAGGAGGGAAAAGGTAAAGATAAAGACCAGTGTGACAGACCTGGTCTCCAAACAATGTCGTATTGTACTTAGGCAAGCTCTTTTATTGGATGAACACAAAAAGTTCTGTAATCTTTTGGGAAGGATAGTGTTGTCTCCTAATGATAGTAGTGAAGCTGGTCTTATTGGCTATCCTGCAATGGTTTCTCGACCTTTAGACTTCCGAACAATTGATTTGAGATTGGCTTATGGGGCATATGGTGGATCTCTTGAAGCTTTCATTGATGATGTTCGTGAGGTACAGAATACTATTTTGTTCTTGCTCTTCCTTTTATTGATATATATATATATATGTTTGTTTTTGTCATTCATTAAGTTGTGCACACTGTTCATGGTTCATCCAAGTGTTTTTCTTTTTCTTTTTTGGTATCTTTGGTACACCCTTTGCATTTATCTAGTTTCTTTTGGTCACTTGCTCTGACTCCTCTTTATCTGGTACCCACCCTTGAATTTCTCAGTGCTTACATTGTTGTAGAAGTGCATCTTTTCAGTACTTTCCTTGCAAATGCTTGCGAGTCCTTTCCCCCCTATATGTCAAAAGTAGTAATCATATGAAATATGAATCTATGGGGAACTTTTTGTTATCCTAATATGTCCTCCACTCAAGAAGATTTGAAAGTTTGTCTCTCAACCTCAGCTCATCTTACTGTAAATTTATATTGTTCTGTCAAGAACTGGAGGTAGAACTAGTGTTATGACTCTTTTCCTGATCATAATCTTGAAAGTTAAGTTAAAATTGGATCCTTTATAAGAAATGGTAGTAAGGATGCCTATCTATCTTAAGCTGGTAGAGATTACATTCTTCCTATTTGTTTGCATTTTAATCTCTGAAACTGATGATGGCAAGCTGGGCAGCTGATATCTTGAAATCTTCAGTTGATGTTAACTGATCACAATATTCCATTAGTAGATATTTTTAAACTTGTCATGGTTGCTCCTTTGTAAACTATAACTATTGCTCAAATTAAGCAGCACTGATTTTCTTGGCACTTTATGCAGCATGCTAAACTAACTTTTAAATGAGCTTTAGCAAGTAACTGTGATGCCATGTTTTTTAATATCCCTCAACTTCTACATCATGGTCTTTATTATAGGTTTGGAGCACCATTACCGCATACCGGGGTCAAAAGAATCTGGATTTAGCTCTGCATTTATCTGCAGAGTTTGAAGCCCTTTATGAGAAAGAGGTAGGTTGATGCTATTTGTTTCACGAATTTAATAACATTATGAAATTTCATTTCCAACTTCGTCTGAGCTGCTTGTGTACTAACTGAATCATGGAATTTAATGTTTTGTTTAACCTGCTATTTGTTTTGAATTAATCATGCAAATGCTATTTTCTTCAGGTACTAACACTTGTGAGTAAGATTTCTGAGGTGTCTTGTGTCGGTGATCCTGACATTGAGATGGTAAAGGATAGAGATCAGCTCCTACTTGAAGTCTCGAACGCAGCTCTTCCCCGACCTCCTTGGGAGGAAGGCCTCTGTAAGGTCTGCGGGTTGGATAGGGACGATGATAACGTTCTTTTATGTGATAAATGTGACTCTGAGTATCATCGATACTGCCTAAATCCTCCACTGAAGAGAATACCCGAGGGGAACTGGTACTGTCCGTCCTGTCTAATTCCTTCTGCTCACTCTTACCTGTCAGCTTCCAATCAATCTAGGAGAAGAAGAGACCAGGGAGAGTTCATAATACAGTTTCTAGAGGAATTAGCTCGACTAGCTAACCTTATGGAAATCAAAGAATATTGGGAGTTCACAATTGTGGAGGTTGGTTCTCAATCCATCTTGTGTTCTCTATATTTGCAAATGGACGCTTTCTTTCATTCTTCGTTCTTCTTCTTCTTCCTTTATTTAACTCTTTATTTGCCCAAATCATTTTGAATGACTGTGAATCTCCTTGTTGCAGAGAATAATTTTTATGAAGTTCTTGTTTGACGAGGCTCTAAGTTCTGCCACAATTCGTGAGCACATGGACCAGTGTACCTCTCGGGTCACCGACTTGCAGAGTAAACTGCGCATTCTCACTGCTGAACTGAGACTTTTGAAAGTTAAGGATCTTGTCTGGAGTGCTGATAGACCGACTTCCGGTGCCCATAATGGGCGTGGAGACCTGAAATCTGATGCATCTTCTTCCTTGCCTATTGAAAGTAGTTTGAGGGGAAAAGCAAAATTATCTGAGATAGCCAGTCATCTTCCCTCTTTCTCAGGCTTCACACAGATGGAGCATGGCCCCTCTGCGAAGGAACATGTTGGCCACAGTAAACATCCAGATTGGCTACCCCTTTCTAGGAGCGGTAGGAGTCTAGGTTCCGCAGACTCATTGAACCAAGCAGAATGTCAGAATCTTCTTATGGGAGACCAAAGTCAACCTGGGATCGTCACGGTGCCTATCCAGCCTTCAGGAGGCTCTGTCTTAAATTGCAGCCAGGTGATGCCTGGCCATAACCACTCCGGCTCCTCTGGTGATCATGCCACAGATTTAGTACCTTCTGCGCCTCCACTTCCTGTGCATGAATCACAGAAACACCCTAGTCCAAGTCAAGCTGAGATGCTTCCGTCCAAGGACAACATCTCCAAATCAAGCACAATTAAGGATGATATTGTTAACATGCAGAACACAATTGCTGCCGTGGAATCAGAACTTCTCAAGATTTCTATTCGGAAAGATTTCTTGGGACGGGATTCTAATGGGCGAGTCTATTGGGCGTTTAGCTCTGCAGGTGCTCGACCATGGATAGTAGCCAGTGGGGACTTGGTATCCAAGAATAGGCTGCCTGATGAGTTCATGGGGGTTCCGGGTTCTGATAAGTGGATGTATTATGAATCTGACGATGATGTTGAGAAGCTGATTGGGTGGCTGACAGATAATCATGTGAGGGAGAAAGAATTAAGGGAATCCATTTTGCAGTTGCAAAGCAGTAAACTGAGAGAATCACAGTATACCATAAGCCACATACTGAGCAAAGTTGTTTCTGACCATGGCAAAGGAATTTCATCTGATACAGCGCCTACGGAGGCTATGGCTATGTTGAAGAAAAAATTTGGTCCTTGCTTGGTAGTTAATGCAACAGATGCTTGTCAGCGTCCATCCACCGAGGCGAATCAGGATGGCAGGATGGTCAGATGCGAATGTTTAGAGCTCTTGTGGCCTTCTAAAGACCATTGTTTCTCGTGTCATCAGAGTTTTGCCAGCAATGAGGACCTGCAACTACATTGCAAGGAAAAATGCAAAGCTACATCAAAGAAAAGCCAGACAACAACTGAAGATACTAGTAAGCGCAGAAAGCCAAAAATTGTTATTTCACAGGAGAAGCGCCCCATTAGTTCGAGTTTCCCTCAATTCTCAACAAGTAAGAAACAGAATAATGGACCTAGTTTCACTGACCCCATTAGATCTGGTACTCCATTTAATTTTGAGGAGATAAAGAACAGGTTTGTCGTCCCAGGTTCAGTAAAGCAAACTGTGAATGAAATTGGGCTTATTGGGAGTGGTGGCGTACCATCCTTTGTCCCTACCAGCTCTCCTTATCTCAGCGATCGTACATTGCAATTCCGTCCCCCAGGAATGAATAAAGCGAGTAAGAGTGGAATGCCCAATCTTGTGAGAAGTCAAGGGAAAACAAGTGCTGTGTTTGGTGGCCAAGAGAATAAAGAATCAACCAGATCTTCAAGAAATGCTGAAAATGGTCTGGCCCATGGAACTACTGCTGAAAGATTGAGATCTGCATTAGCAAGTGAAAGCGATCAAGTTTCTTTTGTCAAGGAGAAAGGTGCATCACTGATTGGATTATCTAAGAGCAATTTAAATCGCGAATCCTCACCAAGACCATTAGTTGGCAAAGGCGCTGAAGTTCTGAAGCTTCTTAAGATTAATTTATTGGATATGGATGCTGCTCTGCCGGACGATGCTTTAAGACCTTCCAGGACAAGTGGTGACAAAAGGCGTGCTTGGCGTGAATTCGTTAAATCTGCAAAATCTATTTATGAGGTCAGTGTTGCTATTATACTAATTTTCTTTTTACATACTGCATTGCATCCATAGATTTCTTTAAGGAGCCTCTAATCTATCGAAAGTTTAGACCTACCTTTCTTGATGACTATTTCGATTGTTGCATGTCTGTGGGTCAATCATTTTAGGCAAGAACAAGATAATAATCTATTGTTAGATTCATTTACTACCCACATCTCATATTTCTTGTAAGGGTCATTCTTTTCCTAATCCTTTCAGATGGTTCAAGCTATGGTCGTATTCGAAGACACAATCAAAACCAACTACTTGCGAAACTTCTGGTGGTATTGGTCTTCACCTTCAACAGCCATGAAAATCACCACACTCTCGGCCCTTGCTTTGCGCATATACAGTCTAGACTCAGCCATCTCCTATGACAAACCTCTGGTCAACAGTGCAATGGTGGCTCGTGAAACAAATCCAGGGTTAGAGGAGGAAACACCTTCCAGGAAGAATGGAAGCCCATCCCAGCAAACCCCCACCGAACCAGATCCTGCTGATAATACTAGAACGACGAGGGGTAGAGCAAGCAAGCGCAGGAAGGATCTTAGTGCCTGAGATAGTAAGAATTCATTTTGCATTTTAGAAATGACTTGGCTGTAAATTCTGCTAGCTGGTGATGAAATCTTCAGGGCAAATTTGGCTACAAGTTTGCTGCGAATTAGACTTGCCTTTGCTGACATCTGTTGAAACTTGTGGAGAGAATTACTGCTTTTACACCGTCATGCATCATTAATTAGGATCGATACACATCTGTTGAAGCTGCAGCATCCAAGAGAAAGGGAAAGAAAACTGAATATACAGGCACAGGAAACAGGTATACAAATAGAAATGTACTCAACAGTCTGTACTCTTATCTAGTATAAATGTATAGAACTGTCTTATCGACTTGAACCTCCGTTAGCAATGAATTATTTGGTGCTGCAGTTTTTTAAATTGCTATTTTCTGCTTGGTTTTTTGAGAATGATATAGGAAGTGATGCAGCCTTGTGATCTTTATGATCATATCAAAATATCTATAGATGAATTTAAGTTGATTATGTATGCTTATCTGAATGTTTTTGTTTAGGATCATTTAGTGGCAATTTTGTTTATATATTTATTACTTAAAAGTTGATTATAGATTTGGTTGTGTAGCAAATGGAATGTTTTCAAACCATGAGTTGAAATGTTAGATTTGAGTGTGCTAAAGCTATGGCCTTCCGTGAAATTAATGTGTAGGGACTTTTAAGGACAATTGAAATTCAAATGCAATTTTTTGAGGTATATAAACCTTGTTAGATTGTGCTTTTAATAATGCATTAGGTCGAGGTAAAAAGGTATATTTGAAATACATATTCAAATACATATTTTAATCTTTGTTTACTAAAAACATTATTCATAAGCAGTCATTTAAAATACATATTACTTTAAAATATCAAAACTGAATATTTAAATATTTACTATTTTTACAAGTAAACAAAACTTCCTGTTTTTATTTTTTCTTGTTTGATTTTGGTTGGGAATAGATTTGAAATATAATTTTATTTAAATTTTTATTTAAATAATCCTTTCTCTTAGAGATGATTTTTTTTTGTTCGTCCTAAATTTCTTTATATCTTTTAGAAAATTTATTTATTACAAATATATCTAATAAGTATGACAAATTTATTTATTTCTATATAAGTATTTTTTTAAAAAAACATTTAAAACTTCCTATTTTTTAATAAAATTAATTTAAGTTAATTATAAATAAATATATAATTTTTATTTGTATTAGTATATAAAATTTTATTATCATATTATATATATTTTATTAAAATATAATATTAAAATATTTAAACACATTCTATTTTTTAATTATATATATTAATTTATATTTTTAAAATACTAACAATATTACTCATATAAAAATAATATCATAATTTTATTATTAATAGATTATTAATCTACAATACCTTTGGAGGGAAGGAATATTTTATGATATTTTATATAAAAAGTAAAATAAAATAAAATAATAATAATAATTTTCGTGATAATGTGTTGATTGAATAGTGATTCGCTTGTTTTTATTTAAAATAAAAAATACAAAGGCACCCTTCACGCTTGAAAAACAAATACTACTTATGGGTTAGACAAGGTCAAATCAACACTCTAATTTAACGGGTACAAATATATGTTATATTGGTAACAAACATATATATATAAATTTATTACATATTGTGTTATAAGATATCATATTATGTTATAATATAATATATGTTGTATTATAAATATGTTCGTCACTTGTATGACATATGTTGATGTCGTCAAATTAGCACCATAATATTTGAAAAAAAAAAATACTGCTCTGGTGCTTACAAGGCCAAATCAACATCCTAATTTAACTTGTTCAATATATGTTATACTGATGACAAACATATATGTTTAGATGTATTAATATTGTGTTATAAGATATCATATTATGTTATAATATAATATATGTTGTATTATAAATATGTTGGTAAGTTGTATGACATATGTTGATGTTGTCAAATTAGCACCATAATACTTGAAAAACAAATACTGCTCCTGTGCTGGCAAGGACAAATCAACACCCTAAATTAACTTGCTCAATATATATTTTACTGATAACAAACATATATGTTTAGATGTATTTTATATTGTGTTATAAGATATTATATTATGTTATAATATAATATATGTTGTATTATAAATATGTTGGTCACTTGTATGACATATGTTGATGTCGCAAAATTACCACCATAATACTTGAAAAACAAATACTGCTCTGGTACTTACAAGGCTAAATCAAATCCATAATTTAACTTGTTCAATATATGTTATGCTGATGACAAATATATATGTTTAGATGTATTACGTATTGTGTTATAAGATATCATATTTTGTTATAATATAATTTATATTGTATAATAAATATGTTGGTCACTTGTATGTATATGATGATGTCGTCAAATTAGCACCATAATACGTGAAAAACAAATACTGCTCATGTGCGCCAAATCAACACCCTAATTTAACTGGCTCAATATATGTTATATTGATGACAAACATATATATATTTAGATGTATTACATATTGTGTCATAAGATATCATATTATGTTATAATACAATTTATGTTGTATTATAAATAAGTTGGTCACTTGTATGACATATGTTGATGTTGTCAAATTAGGACCATAATACTTGAAAAACAAATACTGCTCCTGTGCTGGCAAGACGAAATCAACACCCTAATTTAACTGGTTAAATATATGTTATACTGATAACAAACATATATGTTTAGATGTGTTAGATATTGTGTTAAAAGATATCGTATTTTGTTATAATATAATTTATGTTGTATTATAAAAAAGTTGGTCACTTGTATGACATATGTTGATGTCGTCAAATTAGCAACATAATACTTGAAAAACAGATACTGCTCTTGTGCTGGCGAGGCCAAATCAACACCCTAATTTAACTGGTTCAATATATATTATACTGATGACAAACATATATATTTAGATATATTACATATTGCGTTATAAGATATCATATTATAATATAATATAATATAATATATGAGTTATTATAAATATTTTGGTCATTTGTATGATATATGTTGATGTCGTCAAATTAGCACTATAAAACTTAAAACAGATACTGCTCCTGTGCTGGAAAGGACAAATCAACACCCTAGTTTAATATATATTATACTGATAACAAACATATATGTTTAGATTTTTTACAAATTGTGTGATAAGATATCATATTTTGTTATAATATAATATATATTATATTATAAATACGTTGGTCACTTGTATGACATATGTTGATGTCGCCAAATTAGCATTATAATACTTAAAAAACAAATACTGCTCCTATGCTGGGAAGGCCAAATCAACACCCTAATTTAACTGGTTCAATATATTTTATACTGATAACAAACATATATATTTAGATATATTACACATTGCTTTATAAGATATCATATTATGTTATAATATAATATATGTTTTATTATAAATATGTTAGTCATTTGTACGATATATGTTGATGTCGTCAAATTAGGACCATAATACTTGAAAAACAGATACTGCTCATGTGTTGGCAAGGCCAAATCAACACCCTAACTTAAATGGTTCAATATATGTTATACTAATAACAAACATATATGTTTAGATGTATTACATATTGTGTTATAAGATATCATATTTTGTTATAATATAATTTATGTTGTATTATAAATAAGTTGGTCATTTGTATAACATATGTTGATGTCATCAAATTAGCACCAAAATACTTGAAAAACAGATACTGCTCCTGTGCTGGAAAGGACAAATCAACACCCTAGTTTAACTGTTTCAATATATATTATACTGATAACAAACATATATGTTTAGATTTTTTACAAATTGTGTGATAAGATATCATATTTTGTTATAATATAATATATATTATATTATAAATACGTTGGTCACTTGTATAACATATGTTGATGTCGCCAAATTAGCATTATAATACTTGAAAAACAAATACTGCTCCTGTGCTGGCAAGGCCAAATCAACACCCTAATTTAACTGGCTAAATATATGTTATATTGATGATAAACATATATATATATAGATGTATTACATATTGTGTTATAAGATATCATATTATGTTATAATATAGTTTATGTTGTTTTATAAATAAGTTGGTTCTTGTATGACATATGTTGATGTCGTCAAATTAGCACCATAATACTTGAAAAACAGATAGTGCTCATGTGTTGGCAAGGCCAAATCAACACCCTAATTTAACTGACTCAATATATGTTATACTGATAACAAACATATATGTTTAGATGTATTACATATTGTGTTATAAGATATCATATTTTGTTATAATATAATTTATGTTGTATTATAAATAAGTTGGTCATTTGTATAACATATGTTGATGTCGTCAAATTAGCACCAAAATACTTGAAAAACAGATACTGCTCCTATGCTGGTAAGGACAAATCAACACCCTAATTTAACTGGTTCAATATATGTTATACTGATAACAAACATATATGTTTAGATTTATTACAAATTGTGTTATAAGATATCATATTTTGTTATAATATAATATATATAATATTATAAATATGTTGGTCACTTGTATGACATATGTTGATGTCGTCAAATTAGCACCATAATACTTGAAAAACAGATATTGCTCCTATGCTGGCAAGGCCAAATCAACAACCTAATTTAACTGGTTCAATATATGTTATACTGATAACAAACATATATGTTTAGATTTATTACAAATTGTGTTATCAGATATCATATTTTGTTATAATATAATATATATTATATTATAAATATGTTGGTCACTTGTATGACATATGTTGATTTCGCCAAATTAGCATCATAATACTTGAAAAACAAATACTGCTCCTGTGCTGGCACGGCCAAATCAACACCCTAATTTAACTGGTTCAATATATGTTATACTAATGACAAACATATATATTTAGATATATTACATATTGTGTTATCAGATATCATATTATGTTATAATATTATATATGTTTTATTATAAACATGTTGGTCATTTGTATGAAATATGTTGATGTCGTCAAATTAGCACCATAATACTTGAAAAACAAATACTGCTATTGTGCTGCTAAAGCCAAATCAACACCCTAATTTAACTGGCTCAATATATGTTGTATTGATGACAAACATATATATATATTTAGATGTATTACATATTGTGTTATAAGATATTCTATTATGTTATAATATAATTTATGTTGTATTATAAATAAGTGGGTCACTTGTATGACATATGTTGATGTCAGTCAAATTAGCCGCATAATACTTGAAAAACAAATACTGCTCCTGTGCTGGCAAGGCCAAATCAACACCCTAATTTAACTGGCTAAATATATGTTATATTGATGATAAACATATATATA